AATATCAGGAAGCGCTTCTCCGCGATTTGAATTAATAGTGGGATAATGAATTTCGTCCCATTTTAAATAATCCTATTTCGAAAGGCTTTACATCTCGTGACAAAAGATCAGCTTTGATTTACTGCACAATAAATTAACATACATACATATACACATGAATAGTAAGTTTTTTCGGAAGTGTCGGAAAAGAAGAATTTTTTTCAAGCTATATATTTTGCAACAAAATTTTTATTAAAATTACACATGGATTTAAGAGCCCTAATAGATCAAATACTTAAGATATGGATGACAAAATTATACTTTTGGTGATCTTTGAACTTTCCAGAATTTCACATGTGTTATACATTAAACTGTCCCTAGTTGAACACCAAATCAAGCTTAATGTTTTTGTGCTTTCAGTTTCACCGAAGTCAACAATTTTTGACAAAGAATCATTATCAGGAATTCATGATAAAATTTCTAGATTATTGGAATAAAATTTTTTTAAGTGAAAGCAACCTTGACAAAGTGTTTCGGATACTGTTATTCATATCTGCATAGCTTCTTCAACCGTATCTGCGCCTATTAGAATGTCATCTACGTAACAGTCCAATTTTATTATTATCGCAATTTCTGGGTAAGTCTCCTCGTTTTCATTTGCTAATTTTACTAGACATCTTAACGCAAGAATGGAAGCCGCCGCGGTACCGTATGTTACCGTTTGCAATTCGTAAGCGTCGAATAGAACGTGCGAATGAAACCGCCACAAAATTCTTTGAAGCGATCTCTGCTTCGGGTTAATCAAAACACATCTGTACATTTCTCTTCTAACGTTTTTTCGCAACACCCCTAATTTATACTCCATATATTCAAGCAATACATTCTTTTTAAATCTGGTTTTTGTGTTCAATTTTTTCTCGAGGGATAAAAAACGTTTCTTCGCGTTATCAAAAGATTCTCCCAACTCGATTGTTTCTTGTTTTAATGCCAGGTTTATGTTTTCGAGTATGTTAAGCTGCGAAACTTTTAATTTGAAACATGGCAAATTTACTGTAATTTTTGGTATAACAAAGTATGATTTTTTTCAGAAAATGCCTTAGATTGAGATTGAATTTCGACATTGCATTTGGCTTCAATGCTTGAAAGAGAACCACTTAAGCCATTTACGGACATGCTACTTTGTTCCTTGGTTAAGCCTAAGCGGTTGCAAATTTCAGTTGTGAAAAAACTAGATTGGGATCTATTGTCTAATAACAGCCGTATTGTACGCCCATTTTCCAGCGATCATAAATCTGTACGTACGCCGTTGAGAAGAAAACGACATTCACAGTGTTGCAGGCAAAAAGTGAATCATTCGAATTTGTGATTCAATCTGTTTGTTGTTTACATTTTGACTTAAACATTTCCCATTCCCGAGCTGTAACCCTATCAAATTTTGTCCCTACTATATTAACAATTAAAACATCCCAGGAATTTATCTGTAAATTTAATTGTTCTAATTCTCGAAGATTTTTTGTTATTGTATCAATTTCTTAAGTGTGTCCATGTTGAAAATGTTCTTAACGTGATTATGCATTAACATTTTGTCATTGTTGAACCTTTCAACTAGTAAATCCCAAGCGATTTTGTAATTGCTTGCAGAAAATTCTGGAGATTTAATCAAATGACTCAAAAATGTCACGAAATTCTAACCAATTTTGCAGCGAACCATCAAAAGTTGGCAATTTTATGACAGGAAATTTGACATTTTGTAATAGATTATCAACATTTTGTCTTATGGAAGATTCCTCTAATTTCGTACTTGATATAGAATAAATTGACTTATTGTCATAAAGATTTTTTTTGCTATTTACACCTGCGAATTGTAAATAGATTCAAAGTTGTTGCGTTCTGTATATTTTGTTTCAACATCATGTGATTCGCAGATACTTTCAATTTCATCTGAATTCTCACAAAACTTTCGCACTACACATTTAGTGTTTTCTAACCGAGATTCCAATTCAATTAACTCCAAAGCCGTAAACTCGCATGATCTTGCCGCGTGACTTGATATTTTTTAAAATTCGTTAGAGTGATTTTTACGCCGCCCCTCTTTCTTACAAGCGAATCTATTGTTTAAAAACAATTTTTAATAAAGGCGAAGCGGCCAGGAATTGTGTAGTCTGTTTCTGTGGCCGCTGGAGCCGCTGTATCTACTTTGCAGATGTTTTGGGCCGGCGTAATCAATTTAACATATTATATTTCTCAATATTGCACATAACATTGCGAACACCCTGTATTTAAAGACAAAAAATCTTCAATACAAAAATTATAGATCTTGATGCGGTCTAAACCTTCATGTGAAAGTAACCTTCCACTAAATCATAGTGTTGCAGTCATTGCAATTTTAATTAAAATAGGAACACATATACACATACACACGTACAGCATTGGATCTCGCCGATCCTTTTTTCAAGATTTTTTTAGATCTCGTAAATAAATTGGTTAAGGCTTTCGCGGCCCGTTGATGAGCTATTATCTTAATTCTTCCATCTCCGTAGACATACGTCCAACATCGGAGATGGAAGGACCTCTGAAGAAGCTCGCCACTCGTGCTAGCGAAACGTTAGGAAGTAATTCCAACCGACGACGGCCTTTAAACCCGAATCAAGATAATAGCTCATCTCGTAAATAGTTTGGTTTTTTTATTGTTTTAAAAAATACGATTTCATAGATTGTTATAAAAACAATGCTGTATATAACAATGACAAATTTATTCTATATGGGTCTTGTAGAGAAAGAACTTAATTTCGATTGTGTTCACACTAATAATTTTCGAGGTAATGGCCGCAAATTTACATTATCATTTACTTATTTTGCATTTATTTTTTTCATTATCCTATTGAGCAGGTCTGGCTGACGGCAAAACAAGGATGTGAACAATGTGCTTTGGTTTTTTGATTTGTCGTCAACTATAGAAATATTTTGTTACCTGGAAAGTATTTTAACATCCTTAATCCCCAGTCATGAAGTGGTTCTCTTTGGTGGTCACCTTAATGTTGATTACTTGTCTAAAAATGACTGCATACAAAATTCATATAAAGTTCATAGAAATCTTGTCGCAACATCCATTCGAAACAAAAGAAAGGCGTATTTGAACCTTGTTTCTTTTGATTTTGGCACTCCTGATTAGTTTGGTAGTTTTTTTCTGGAAAATGTGTCGGTAGTTAATGCGCTATTCACTTTCAGTTTTCACCGGTTAGCTCCGTCAAAATCTAACAAATTATATTACAACCTGGATGGATTTAACCGTCAAAATATTCTTTAAAAACTCCATATCTATTTGATTATATGCAAGTTTTCCACTGACTTGTAGATAAGTAAGAACAGTGACTATAGTAAGCTTTTTTACTTTAGGCCTATAAGTTTCCTGACGATTTTTTCTAAGATCCTAGAAAAAGTTATGACCGAACAATTGAGAGATTATTCTTTGCGGAATATTATAGTTCCTTCTATGCAATCTGGTTTTAGAGCTCAACATAGCACAACAACCGTTTTCTTGCAAGTCTGATGATATTATACGTGCCGCGGCTGAAGGCAAATCTAATTGTCTAGTTCTTGATTTGTATTTGGAACACTTGATCATAGTATTTTGTGTACCAAACTTAAATCCTTTGGGTTTGATTCTTCCGCAGTGTGCTTTTTAGAATATATCATACATGGCGAGTATTTTTTTCGAAATGCATAATCCGATTTCTTGGGCGCTTTCCGAGGGGTTCCACAGGGTAGTGTTTTGGGACCATTATTGTTCTCGCTTTACACCTCTGACTTCTGTCATTATCCTAACTATCTGCAGCAACTTGTAAAGCACTTTCTCAGTTTTAAATCCCACCATCTCCCTTGCAAACAAACTTCACCTCCACAACTCTAAATGTCAGCTCGTCTTTTTTGGCAATAGCCACGATGGTGTTTAAAATAATATAAGTGTATATGTTGATAACAAAATGAGATTTAGACCTCACGTGTGATATCTAGTCCAACAAAGTTATTGTAAACTTAAGATCTTGTGTCTGTATAAAAATTTTCTTACCCGGCCAGTGAAATTGCAATTATATGACACCATTATTTTATCTACCTTGGCACACTGCAGGATGTTATACCGACCCACTCTTCTTCGTGAATATAGGGAAAACCGAAGTACCCAAAAACTAACGGTCGTAGCAAAACTATAGAATATAACGCTTATGGTAAACTTTTTAAGTTACTCGTTTATTCAGCAATCGTTCCGCTGCGCTCCGCTAGTGCCAAATAAACTACTGACTCAAATGCCGTTTACCACACTTGTTGCATAATGTTTTCTATTCCCTTCTGTGAACGACTCAATTATACACCGATCTAGCGTGCGACAAGCGTCACTATCACGTAAGTTTCGTGTCCCATGGATCCGAACCACTCCGGACACTACCGCACGGATTTGGCAAGAATCGGATATTTTCGGTGATTTAACCGCACGGCTTGAATTTTCACGTTTGTCAATTCTGATGGTCATGTCAGTGAATGTATTTGTGTTGTTTTGCAAAAATGTATCCAAAAACTAACGGACGTAAAAAAAGTAGACTACGCAACAGGTTCGGTAAAATTTTTACGTCACTCGTTTATTAAACACTCGCTCCGCTCGTGCCAAATCAACTCGCTACTCAAATGCCGTTTACCTCATTTATTGCATAACATACCATTTTAGCATTTCTTCCAATTTTTAGTAAAATGCGTCTAAAAATCCCATTGCCCAAATATGCGTCATTTGTATTCAAACGGATTTTTGACACAAAGAGATAAATCACATTAATCTAGACTTGGAAACGAGTGGTTGTAATTTTTAAATCCCGATCCACAAACATAATCAATAGAGGTATTGAGATAAGCGATACATTTCAAGTTAACAATAATGTTCGTGACAAAAAGCCGATATGATTAGATATTATTTTACACGAAGCATCGGTGGCGAATTTTCAACTAGTCGCGAAAATCTATGGTGACGAAAGATGAAGTTGCCGTATGAAACTTTGTTCCTGTTTCTGTGCACTTTCGGGTACGTGAACGCGCAATGTAAGTAAAAATCAATTTCCGAGGCTGGAAAATAATATTAAAAAAGAAGTAAATTTGGACGGCTATTGTTTATTATGCGATTGCGACCGTTTTCGATCTGCTATCTTCGGGGAAGGGGATATCTACGCCGAATATATATGCAATGCGTCCCAGATTTGTTTCTTTATATGGGGATCTCCGCTTCTGTAACACCTATAGCGAAGGTTAAATGGGAGAAGTTTTAGAGGAAATTGGCTTTGATAACCGGCTTCAGATTTACCATCGGGCAATTGATTTGGAAAATATCGACAAAAACCTGAAAATGACGGATTTCGCTTTTTGCTAGTAAATCCAAAGCGGTTTAATTGACAGCCGTCAAAATGTGACTGTTCAGACACTTTCTTAAGACGAGTAAGACAGCGCGTATGACATGTTGCAATCGTCTTCTATTATCTCGCAACGCGCCTTAAGTTTAATTTTTCTTATAGTCGTCATATCGAATTTTTCGTTTTTTGGAAAGAGCGAAAATTTTTATATTTTTTTTAATTTAATTTAAATTTTTTGGAGGATTTAGATCCAATAATTCCTAAGATATATGGCCGTTGCAGTACTTTTACTAAACCTGTATATTTTTTAATCAATATTTTTGCTTTTTCAATATATTCTGGGATATCATCCGTTCGTTTGTTGAATTCCGACTGGAATCCTGAAGACGTTTCGCCAAGATCTCACTTGGCATCTTCAATGCTCGCGCTCCGCTCCAATAGAAAACCCACTTTTTAGTTGTTTATTTATTGCTAAAAAAAATATTTATTGATTTTTAAAATCGTTCAAGCAAAGAAAGTTGGTTCGGGACCCAAATTCAGTACCGGAATGTTATCACCTGTTTTAAGATATTTTATATATAATAATAAGGAATTCACTAATCAGCTTTACTTATGTGATTCACAAATCCATATCAAAACTAAACTAAACTAAAACTAAGTAGAACTATCCAGTCTAGAAATACCTCGTTTGTTTGAATAAGATTTGATGTACCGTTTTGTGATTATGTTTTGCAACTGTTGATGAATTTATTTGTCGAACTCTTAAGACTCTTTTATGTCCTTTTAGCCTAGTTGAGGTTGTGCCTCTCCTTCCGGATATGCATGAAATGCAAACTTCTGGTCTGTTTTTGATGGTCGGAAATTTTTTAAGTTTTAACATTATATTTCTTAAGACCTTTGATACGTGGTTAGTAATAGTGCGTTTTAAAATAATAGAATCTTTATGTTCATACAAATTCAAAATTCGTTAAATTTTAAAGACAAAAGTGTTTAAACCGGAATTCAGTGATAACTTAAACAATGGACCAAAAATGCTTAATTTTTTTTTGTTTGATCATAGAAATAAGAATTTATGACGTAATTAGTTTAAATCATTTATTGTGGCAAAGAGAATAAGATATATACTACATAATTTTACCAAACGGTGTAAAACACAACGTAACGTTAATATAATAATAATGTTTTTTTTTATTGATTAATATTATTCACCACGTAAAATAGGTCACAAAATCGATAAATTATAATAAATATGTTAATCAAAACAATCTCCTAATTTTTATCGTTTACGGTTACTTAGACATTATGTAATTAGCAATGTAGCTATTTAGCTTTGATTCTGGATACCCCTGAAAGGCTCTGCTTATCAGTAATTTTTAATAAATATTAACAAAAAAAGATAATTACTAATTAATTATTAATTAATTAAAATGTAATTTGTTTAGACCCCTTCCATTAAACACAAACAACAATTCACAAACCAACTTGTAACGATTGTACGATTTTAATTAGGAATAGAGAGATATATTTATAAAATACATATATACAAGAAGTGTATTTTTTGTAATGAATAAATCAAAATATAAAGACAGGTAGACCCTCTTATTTTGAAATGATTTTATTATGATACAGGGGGTCTCTACACAATGCATGGGGGTCTGTGTGCCTAGGTTTTCCTTAAAGTGAATGACCCAATATTGGATCTGAGTTTCTATTAACAGGGATATCTAAAAATGAGAGATTATTGTCTCAAATTCAATGGTAAAACATATGTTAGTGTGGTCAAGAAAATGTCGTAGTGATTTTTGATTGCAAATAACAGAAGTAACATCAATATAGTCTTGGTTTTATATGAATTCTCTTCGCAAAAACTTCCATAAATATATTTGTGAATACTGGTGATAATGGATTGATATTCATAAATTTTACCGTTGCAATAAAAATAAGAGGTTTTTTTTAAGTTAATATTAAAAGATTTGATTCTAGATTCTCGGATTTTAATATCTGACACTATATTGAGAGTTTCAAGAAAAGCGCCTCTGAAAAATTGCATTGAAGAGGTTTACAATTTTTAAAGCATTTTTTCGCTTAAGAACGTGATTAACAACCGATGCAAGATAAATCCAAAAGATTTGTATACCATATTACAGTAACCTGTATCTGTATTTATTTTTTCTCAGGTTTGGATCTCCCAGGAACTGTCTACATATCGGACACCGACGTTGAAACAAGCGTCATTTCTAAAACGACGACGGCAGTGGGTAAGAGAATATACATCGGATATTTTAAACAAGTTTCCTTCGACTCTCGACTAGAGAATTAGATAATTCTAATATTTGGTTAGTATCCCAACGCCCTGTATATTATTCATTATCTTTAAATTTCTTATATATAATAAAAAATTACTTAATACATAGTAAAAATAACGGAAATATCTACTTAAGAAGATTTAATTATTTTATTGTATTTTCAATGTTAGAAAAAGGTAAAATCTTCAGTTATCCTCCTTGACCTACTACTTGAATAATTCTTAAAAATTTTGAATAAATTACTTCTTCATGAGATAAATGTCTATTTATCCTTTTTTGTAAAATTTGTATTGTTCTTGGTTTATAATGGTAAATTTTATTCCTTAGATAGGAAAAGAAGTCAAGTAGAGGGATATAATTTGTTCCTCAGAACTTAATTTGAATAATCTGCATCCATTTTTATTATTTTCTTTACTGTTTTAATAATTATTAATGATAAATGTATTTGGCAATGGAATAATTATGACCAAGTTTTCATAACGACGAGATTGGCTGACAATGGCCAGCTTAGCTGGAAAATGTATCAAAATAATTATATTTTTAGAAAAGTCTTCGCCATTTAGTTCCATTCGAAAATGTTGACTTTTTGTATAATAAAACTAGTGCCCGTGATGTCGGAAAATTGCAGCCATAATTTCGGATTTCTAAATAGTCAGATATCCCAACAATATTAATTTAAAATGTCTATTTCAGTCAAAAAATATAGAAATTAATTGAGAGCTGTGTAATTTTCTTCTAGTCGATTCTATCTCTTGCTATATTTCTCCAATTAGTAATCCTCCTCTCTCTTAAGTTTTGTTCCACGGCTTCTGTCCATCTTCTCCTTGGTCGACTACGCTTATTCGTCCTCTCTGTTTTTTTTTCCATGCCACTTCCTTTACTTCTCTATTATTTTCCATCCTCGTGAGATGCCCTAGCCATTGTATTCTCTCGCACTATTACTCTGTATTCTTGCCGCCAAAGATTCGTCATAATACTTTCCTTTCCTGTATACTTAGTTTCTGTTGTTTTTTTTTTTTTTTTGATTGAGGGCCCATGTCTCACAACAGTAAGTTGACATTAGAATGTTATTATTATGACATTTTGTAGATCAACTTTTCTTGTCTTCTTCACATTTGTTGCTTATTAGCACTCCCAAATATATATAGTCAGTTCCTCTCTCACATGTACTTGTAAGTTTAATATTGATTAATGTAATGTATTGTAATTAATATTAAATTGGGGTCCAAAAGTTTCTGCCGTTCTTAGAAGTTGTTTGGTGGTATTTTTGGGTTCAGTTCTACTCCTTGCCAACAGTACCAAATAGTCCACGTATGCGAGGCATTGGTGGCTTTTATGGAACAATGTGCCTTGTCTGTTGATTTCACTTTCACTTCACACGTCAAATTGAACAAGGTTGTTGATAGTGGGTCCCCTTGTCTTAATCCTTTGCATATATTAAAAGTTTTACTTTGCCTTCTTTTATACTTTACTACAGTGCCTGTTTCTTGGAGTGTTAGTTTTATTATTTTCAATAGTTTTCGTGGCATCGTAAGGTTGTTGTTAAAACTTCTATTATTTTGCTCTGTTCATAATATCATATGCTCCTTTGAAATCTACAAACAGCATAAATGTAGCAACCATTAAAACCATTAAAAGTTGCTTTTACATGAAACCGTGACCTGTTGTTCATCTATTTTTTCTGAATCCTCCTTGTTAGTTTGATAATAATCCTTCCGAGTATTCTTCCATTCTGTTTTTAATAGTGTTGCTAGTACTTTATATGTGATGTCTAGAAGCGCTCTAGCCCTATAATTTCGCAATCCATTTTATACCCCTTCTTAAAAATTGGTATTTTTATTGCCTTGCCTTGCTGCCATCCTTCTATTTTCAAACCTCTTTTATAATTTCTGTTATCTGAGTATGTAGAAATTCTCCTCCATAAGTTAAATTTTCCGCTACAATGTTATTTTCCCCCAGACATTTATGATTTTTCAGCTTTTTTATTGTAGTTCCATTTTCTTCAGTGGTAGGCGCAAGGCTTATATTATCTTCTTGTTCCAATTACAAAGCCTCTATGCCGATATTTAGGATCTCCTCAAAAAATTCTTTCCAACTTTATAGTATCATTTCTTCGTCGCCGATACGGGACCATCCTTACCCATGATATAGGGTGTCACGCTTTACTTAGATTTTTCATATCTCTGTAAAAATTTCTAATTTCCTACTTACAGACTCAATTGTACCCCCTTATTATCCTCGTGACTTTATGTATTTCTTTTCTAGGGAAGGGCTAATATAATTGTCTTATTCCGTTATTGTTTGTTGTTACTTTACTGGTGTGTGCTATTGCCTCCAGTTATCCTTTGGTAGATACCTTCATTTCGTACTTTGGCGTTAGTATCTCCGAGTATTATCATTGTTTTTGCGACAGTTGCTATCAATTGTTTCCTACTCTTCCTTTTCCTCCGTTGGCGCATGTATCTTGGATTTAATTTTTAGTGGCAGAATGCACATTCTGTCTGATGTTGCTCAAAAACTGCTTACATCGACTTTTCAAAGCTCCCTCTTGGTTAGTTTTGTTTATTTTTCTGCTGTCCTTGTACCGTTTACTTCCTGACTTTGTTCTCTGAGCCTTTTTTGTAGCCGTTTCGTCATCGTTTTTTTCCTGGCCGTTATGTTATTTACTGATTTTTTGTTTTATTCATTGCTTTTCTTTTGTGTGAATTTTACTAGTTTATCTCTTTCCTCGTTCCATATCCATTTCTTTTTTCCATTAATATATAGACTTTGCAATCCAATTTTATTTAACCGTTTTTCTTGTTACTTCTTCTTCCTTTGCTTTTATTCGTATTCTCTTCTGTATTTCCCTTTGCTCTCTGGTCATATCGTCGTTTATATATATTTTCTATTCTTGTACTTCCTAGAGCTTTCTTTTGTTTTTCATCTCCTATTTTTCTAGCAGATCTTAGCTTATTTCGTAAGAATGTTTGCATTCCTTCCGAGATCTCTGCACCAATCTTAGTGGTTATTGGTAGTCTGTGCACTACCAGATTGTTACTTTTTTCTTTCTCTCTCAAATTCTATCTATTCTATCAAGTTTGCTTTGCACTTTCTGCAATCCCTCTTTAAGTTTTTTATTTTCCTTCTTGAGCTCTAAATTTTCTTCTCTGCTTTTTGTTGTTCCTTCATTGCAATCTTTCTGTTCCTGTTTTATTTCTAGTAATTCTTTTTTAATCTGTATTCATGTGTTGAACCATATCCATTAAAAGTTGTAATTTGTCATCTTGTTGTCGCTTATTACTTCTATCTCGAGTTCTTTGAACTTTGGAATTTTTACCAAAAACATTTTCAAGTTTTTCAGTATTTTTCTTTCTCTATCCTTCGTCGGTCTTATGTTCATCTTCCTAATTCATCCTTGAAATGGCTGTTTTTAAAGCCAGCCCTGCCTTTTCATACTTTAAAGAGGTAACAGCTATCGCACCGCGATAAGCAAGCTCGACTCTTCAGAGGTCACCTAGTTTTCGGCACGGTTTCTGTACTTTTAAATCAACGTTTTTATTAAAATTTTATGGACTTACGTAGATTTCTCTATTTAAAATCATTCACTAGGTGGTCCATTTTGATGTTAGACAACACAAATGGGATGTGGTTGATGTTAAATTTATCGTATTTAAAAAAATATATTCCTGTGGATATGATGGGTAGGTAAGCACAGAAATATTGTAAGGGAAAGCCCAAAAACCATATCCAATGTTGCTATACACAAAATAAGCCCTTTTCCGCTCACATCACCCCAAAAAATAAATGTATTTCGCAATCTCGAAAAATTCTGACGTCCCAGAGATTCAACTAGACCATTGAAGAACCACTTAGAAGAGCTTCAAAATGATGTATTGCTCAATCACCTTAAAACCGTCGGAAAGACATAAAACTAACCCCAATAATGAAATATCATTCACTAGGTGGTCCATTTTGATGTTAGACAACACAAATGGGATGTGGTTGATGTTAAATTTATCGTATTTAAAAAAATATATTCCTGTGGATATGATGGGTAGGTAAGCACAGAAATATTGTAAGGGAAAGCTCAAAAACCATATCCAATGTTGCTATACACAAAATAAGCCCTTTTTCGCTCACATCACCCCAAAAAATAAATGTATTTCGCAATCTCGAAAAATTCTGACGTCCCAGAGATTCAACTAGACCATTGAAGAACCACTTAGAAGAGCTTCAAAATGATGTATTGCTCAATCACCTTAAAACCGTCGGAAAGACATAAAACTAACCCCAATAATGAAATATCTAAAAATTCGTTATTTTCATTTCGCAATCACAAAAAAATCGGATGTCCCAGATATTTAATCAGCCCATTATTATTCCGGAACCTCAAGGAAATCTGACGTTGTCATAGATATTGAATTAGATCATTGAAGAGACACTGGGAAGAGCTTAATTATATAACTCGATTGTGTTCTTGACTATTTTTCAGTTTGGAATCTTCAATACGCGAAATATTACATTACAGAACATTACTTTTCCTATTATTCCAATTTGGTATTCTATAAACTGAAAATTCTCGAATATCGCTGATATCCCTTTTGTAAATAAGCGAGTTAATATCAATTATAGACTCGCCGTTTTGGGATTTATTGCAAGTACCAATATCAGAAGAAAAAAAATTGCTGTTTGTTTATCACTGTGTATAAAATGGTGTTTTTTGTCAACATAAAAGCAAATGAGATATTTTTAAATTAAGTTTAAACGGTTTTAAGAACTGCTTAAAAAGTACATGCAGATCTACCTCAGAAAAGGAAAATATCAGAAAGAAGAAAGGGAGGAGGGGAAGAGCATGTGAAGGAAGGGGAAATAATGATCTTGTGACGAAAGAGTTACCTTTTGTTTTTGCTTTCTTTTTGGTTCCTATGTTTAATCTTGTATTCCGCTGTAAACTAATTGTAACTTTATACTATCTTAAAAATGATGTGGTGGTATAGATTCCATCGATCATGGATGCTTGCTAATTCAGGAGATTTGTTTAATTTTATTTGTACTTTTCATTTTCATATTTATTTAATCATTCATTAAAATTTTTCGGCGACGACATTTGCGCACATATTTTATCTTTTGGGATTAATAACAGTTGCATATTATGTTTCTTTATAAAATATTTGCATTGTAGGGAGCGCTAATATTTGAAAGAAAAAAAATTGAATCGTTTCACCAAGAGAGATAGGTGTACACCTTTTCAAAGTTAAATTAAATATGTCCATAGCAATAAAAAATAATAATAAATACAGAGTGTGCAATTTAACATTTAATATACGACAACCATTTCAAAACGAATTTTGGAGGATCTCACGATTGGGGGTAGTTTTATATCTTCCCGACGGTTTCAAGGTTGTTGAGAAATACATCAATTTGAAGCCCTCCCAAGCACCTCTTCAATGGTCTAATTCAATATCTAGGACAACATCACATTTTTTTGAGATTCCGAAATAAATAAAACGAATTATTGGGTATTTCATTACTGCGCGTAATTTTATATCGTCCCGACCATTTCGAGGTGGTTGAGCAATACATCATTTTGAAGCTCTCCCAAGCGACTCTTTAATGCTCTATTTTAATATCTGGGACAACGTCAGATTTTTTGAGATTCCGAAATAAATAAAACGAATTTTTGGGTATTTCATTATTAGGGGTTGTTTTATATCTTCCCGATGGTTTTAAGGTTGTTGAGTAGTACATCATTTTGCGCCTCTCACAAGTGGCTCTTCAATGGTGTAATTCAATATCCGGCACAACGTCAGAGTTCACTCGAAAACTCCTGTTTTTTCGGCAATTTCTCGCAATTTATAACCTGACCTTTCATTCACTCGGCAGAGGCGGAATGCGCTAGAGATAAGTATAGCGAAATATTTTATAGAACAGTCAGACAGTGGCAGCGGAGCGAGAAATGGAACATTATATTGGTTATCTCATTAAAAAAAAGAAACAAAGTTGGTGTCATCTTTTGAACATGCAGAATTCAAAGACGCTGGTAACTTTTCACTCCTATAAAATTATGACATGTGACGTAAAAGTGGTAATGATTATCATTGCAGAAGTTTTTCAGAAGTTTTTCAGATATTATTTAAGCATTCCGGTACTTTTTACTAACCCGGAATTTAAAATTCTGACAAACTACCTGTAGTAATGCTGCCGTCCCATTTCTTTCATTGACTGAACTTGTCTTTCTGTTATATGAAAATTACTGAAATAGTAAATACAAAAGTTTTAAACATTGTTAGTTAAAATTATTCGTAAGCATGGTGGCTTAAAAAAACGTGACTAATGAAATATAAATTTTGTTTTGAATTCCTTTTAAAATACTTCAACTTTTTTTTAATAATAATACATTCCTAAACCTAATAGTTTTTCCAATATTTTAGTTTTTCTAAATAATTACTAGTTTTCAGCCTTGCAAGAAAATTATAATATATATATATATATATATATATATATATATATATATATATATATATATATATATATATATATATATATATATATATATATATATATATATATAATTATACAGGGTGTTTAAAACAAACGAATATATTTGGATCAGCTTAAATTGAAAAGTCTAGATTTTCTTAAATAGCACGCAATATATACTTTTATTAAGTATTTCATATACTTATTTTTAATACTTTGAGATTCATTTTAAAATTTCCAATATTTACCCTTCTTTCTGCTTAAGGCTATTGCTATAACATTAGCTGGCCACGACAAATTTTTTAATGTTAATTTTTTAATTTAATATTAATGTAATGTTTAATGATAACTGTTATGGCAAATTTACATTTTGGGTAAAGATGTGAATCTACAATATCTGCAAGTATTGTGCAAGCAACTTAAAGCTTTTACCGATTTTTAGAGGTCACCGGTCTGGATGTCATCGTCACTAACGAAGCCTGTGATATCGGTAAAGCTGCGAAGTACTTCAGTTACAGCATTAACGAAAAAACGTTTGATTTGTACACGACAAAAGAATTTGCTAACGTCGACGAGGATGCCTACACGAATGGAAAAAATTTAACCATAACTTTAATATTCACCTTAAAATGCGAAGACGGAACGACAACGGCAGCTCCGGTGAGTGTAGGCTTAAAATTGCTTTGGGTGGCTTTAAGCATCAAAACTCTTCTTCCCCTTTTACTTTAGGACTAAGTCTTGTGTTTGCGTCCATGGTTTCCCAGGAAGAGCTTCTTCCCATTCTATACGTGGTCGTCCAGGTTTTCGTGGTTTATTCGTTTTTTTCTCTCTTCTTTCTTTCTATCTATGTGGTCTTACCATTCCCTTCTTCGGCATCTTACTACATCTTAAGCAAGCACTTTGTATATTTGTTGGAATCTATACAAGGAGCTTTTGTCTTCTGGGATGATCGCTACGTCATCAGCATAGCATATTTTTATATTTTTATTCCGCATGCGGTATCCTCTCCCAGTTGGCTTTAGTATGATTATGATTTTACCCAGTATGATGTTAAATAAGATTGTTGTTCACAAATCAAAGTCGACATTATTTTTTTTTGATAAAATTTTAATCGATAGTTTTAGAATCGCAACCATCAAGCCGATACCACGATAATGCGTTCTTTTCATTGACTACAAGTATTCTATTAAAGAAGATTTGTAATTGCTCATGTAATGTGTCCAAAGCTTAACTTAAGCTACTTAAGTGTTAATAATTATTATTCCAAAGCTTAACTTATGCTACTTAAGTGTTAATAATTATTAATCCACTATTTCAACGAGTCACCCGGAATTTTCAGATGGTGGTGTCGATTGGTGATACGAACAATCACGATCCTAGTTTCCTAAATGATCGATATGAATTCAATGTGGCCGTACCTGTAATGCCCAAAACCGATTTTTCGGTTTACGGTGAGCCGATTGAGGCGGAGGATATCGATTTTTCCAACGAAATGGTGTCCTTCAGCGTCGAACCGAATGATTTTACAGTGAAATCGATTCAGACCGGAAACAAAACCTTCAAGGCGGTTTTCAGCTCCAAAAGATTGATACAATTTACCGATGACGTCGTCTATACGATCACTGCCACGGTAAGTATCTTTGATTACCGTTTTTCGATTTTTTTTTAAACGCAGTGACAAACCCAAAACAAAGATCACTGTTGAATGCTATAACTAATTCTTATAATTAATATTAGCAATAAATGACTTTCACTTTCAATACTAACTTTAAGAATAGTATAAAACAATCTTAAAAAAAGAGATGCAAACCCAGTTTTATAAAACCTGAAAACGTATCAATTGTTCTGTAACGGTTCTTGTCACTTATAAAACCGCTATAGCACTAAAATAGAGAATACTTTGCTCCTCATTTAAATACCGTTTATAAATCTTCTGGATTCCTAATACATTGGTTGTTGATAAATCGAATTTGCTGACTTTTCGCCAATCATCCTGTTGGGCTCTTCAATTTATCACTGAAAGCATTCCAGTTTTGTACCTGCTTATACAGGGTGCCGCATAAGTAATGGTACAGTGCCAATTAATTTAACGAAACTTACCTTAGGCCTGACCGAAATCCACAATGTCAAAGTTGCAGTTTCATTTTTGATTTTTTTTAATCTCCTAAAATAATCCAACTTTTTGGACAAAATTTGACAAATCAGGATCTTTTGACATGAGAAATTAATTTTCATATATAGAGGGCGCTACATTTCTTTCATTTAATACTTCCTAACATTTTGTGCCTTAGGGTACGCAGATTTTTAATTAAAAATCACCTTTTTTCCACAAAAACGGTATATCTTTTAAATTTGGCCCCGAGTAGCCATTTTCGAGAAATTCTTATTTGAAATGTTCATTCCACTTAATTGAACAGTTGAAGAGTTCAAAGTTGACTTTGGCTAACATAAGTATAATGAAAGACAGTAAAATAGTGCGCAGCGCCCTCTGACGAAAACATACACTATAAAATACGTGCAAAATTTTTCAAAGTAGGCTTTGACTAAAGCAAATGCGTACCTTGGGTGTTTTTAAAAAGTTGTGCGGCGACAGAAAATAATTACACCGGAGCCGGAAGAGGAAGAAGAAGAAAAAAGCACAAGAATCCATATCACTTGTTAGGTTGTGTAGTTGTTTTTATCATATCAGCTTAGTTATATACATTATTTAGGTTATTTTAATTTGGATGGCACAAAAAAAATAAATTTTAAATATTACGTAATGATAAATAATATAAATATAATGGGTTTCTCATGTCAAAAAACTCCGATTTGCCAGATTTTGTGCAAAAAGTTCAATTATTTCAGGAATTATTTAAAAAAATTAAAAATGAAATTGCAACTTTGACACGGCAAGGCAATTTTCGTTAAATCGTAACATTTCTACCTCCTACTTTATCATGTACCGTTATTTAGGGGTCAACCTGTATACTGTTTGACGGGAGCGGAGCTAAAGGAGGGAACATTGAACATTGTATCGGATCATTTTGGTGAAAGACCTTATGCTATGTGCTAAATCTGCTTTTAACATTATATTTCTTTAAAACGTTTGATTTGGTTAGTAAGTAAAGTATTAAATATAACGAAAGACTGAAGTGATATGTGGCAGTAAGATATCGTGTGTGGATTTTCTATAAACTGAGTGATCCAATTTTAGGTCTGATTTTCGATAATTAAGAATGCCTAAGAAAGCGACACTCTAATTCAATGGTAAAACGTATGTTAGACTATATAGTTGAGAAAATCTCAGAAGGATTCTTGATCATGAGATCAAATAAAAAACTTAGGTGTTAGATGGAAAGTGTCGATGACTTTCTTCTCAAAAGCTTTCATAAATATACTTGCAATGACTTGGAGGACTTTCCATTTTTTAATAAGGATAACAAGATATGATTCCGGATTCACGAAATTTAATGTCTAAAATTGTGTTCACAGTTTTATCCATAGGAACTAGCAGTAATAGTCGAAACTAATCAGAATATGACTTGGATCTACTGGTTTTTAATTATTAAAAGACTTGCAAAGGGATTGAGTACGAAACTACAAGTTTTCATTGTAAAGAATATAGGAGCTAGATATTTTGCTACAGAATAGGTGGGAGAATCAATGGTGCTAACAATAGGTCAAAGGGGTAATATTGGTTAACCTCTGGGAATCAAAAATCGTAAAAACGAGGAATTTTAGAGTGGTGAGGCATGAGAGATTTTTCACAGGTTCTAATAGAGAAGAAGCTTTAATAGCAGATAAAGCAAGATATTTTCTAAGTTTGCGATAGGATCCGTTTGTGAGAATATCTTAATTTTTTTATTGACTGTGTTTATGTTTATTACTGGCATTTTCTCTATCTACTTTTAAAATTACAATACCGGGATTAGATTTTAGAGATTTTACGGCTTCTAATTGAATTTCAATGCCTGTTTGAAATGGCACTTTGCTTACGATATACTCGACATTTGAAATGATTTCCTTTTTTAGGATAATATGTGGGGTACGGACAAAGTTGGAACCTTTTGCAAAAAATTATTTTTAACTTTCAGAAAGTTGGTGCGATACTACATTTACCATATGTTTTGGTAACGGAGAAGATTTTGATGGTTTCGCTTGCATTTCTTTTATTTTAAATTTGTTTTCGCTTTTTTTCACATCACGGATACCAACAAATTTATATGACTGAAAAGGACTCGACACGGACATTTTTTAAGTGCACATTCAACTATGGTTGCCTTATAAAAAAAGAAAGTTGTATTGATTTATGACAAAACGGAGAACTGTAGATAAATTCCGAATAGGCTGCCAAAAAAAAAGCGCTGATAATGTCTTTTATCCGCATCCAAAATTTTAAAAAGTCGTGAGCAATTTTCAAACGGGCTGAAACCTGATAGTTGATAGTGAAGATACGGTTTTGCTCTATCTAGTTCAGAAATATTTTTTTCCAGTTAAAACCCTGTGGAGGGGAGGAGGTAAGGAGTAAGTTTAATGCTAATTACCCAAAACTTAGATTCTGAGATATTATATTTTTTTCTGAAAAACGTGAACTTTAATATCGTAGAGGGTAGTTTTCACAGAACCTACTCTACTTTTTTTTTAATTCACCTGGATTACTTGCCCAACTCTATTGGCTCACTTTTGAAATGAACAAAATGTCGGAAACGTTTTATTATGGGAAAATTTTAAATGAGATATATTAACTTTTTTCATTTTAATAAGCTATCCCATTTTCGCATCGCAAATTTAGAATTTTTTGCATTAATACTTAATTTTTACAATTCTTGTTCAAAATAAGAGTCCCTATTTCAAATACTTGCTTAGCAGCCTACGGCATTCAAGTTATTAGGCTATTTTGTGTCTGTTGTGCTCTGTTCCTTTCGGGTATTTACTAGGCATGCATAGACTAGCTGTTTCATATGACTCCCCTCATAATAGTCCAGAGGAGGAGTCAAATCGGGGCTTCGCGCTAGCCAATGTACTGGAACTCCCATTTCAATCCAACGCATGATGGAGTAACTGACAACCGTTGTTCTGAGTTAACATTCACTTTCTGAAGCACCGATAGGTCATGCCTTTGAAAATTTTGGAAAATTTTCCCGTTAAAATTTTCTTGAAAAAAATGTGGCCAATAAGTGTCATCTACACACTTACGGAAAAACCTGCTTTACACTTAGTATCCCTCATTAAACTTGCGTTTTCTTCAGCTCAAAAATGTAAACTGTGAAAGTTTGGTGTGTCCTTGTGCGTAAATTGTGACCCATTCGTCCGTTAAATATCTGTCATATTTTCTGCGTCTGAGTTTATAACAGTTTATATTCTCCTTCCAGGATCACATTTCTTCAGGGGTGTAATGATAAGGATGAATTCCAACTCCATGTACCGTTGACCATTGTTATACTTCCGTTTGCCTCGAGACTTATAGTAGTTAAGGTAGTTGTCAAAATGCCTCAATATTTCTTCCTCATTATCTGGTTGAAACACAACAACAAAACACCAACAACGATGAAACAGAAACTTAAACTTTACAATTCAACTACTTTGAAGACTACTGTAAGCGTCAATCTGTTGCAGAATCGTCCAAAAGTCAGACTTAAGTATTAATGAAAAAACAAAACGTTATATTTTGAGTACGTTCTTTATTGTGAGCATAAAAATAAAAAACCGTATCAAGCACTTTTGGTACTCCCTTACTTTATTCGATAGCTATTGCAATAAGAATTTTTTTTTCAAAATTTTGAACTAATGTTATGTTTGTTTGAGTTTAGAAAAATATGCAGATAAAAAATTGTGATGCTTTATTAAAAAAACTATTTATTACATTTTATTTAAAAAATTCCTATGTGTTGGGCAAGCCTTCAGTTAAATTATAAAAAAAATAGAGATGTATGATTACAGAAAACCGACACACACCAACCGATACCCTAATTCATTGTCATATCACCATCCGGCCTAAAAATAATCGGCTATTGCTTACAGAGTCTAAAAACAATCTCTGCCCGAGTCACTGAACCCAGAATTAGAACACCTTACATCTGCTCTTCTTTCTAATAATATTAGAGATATTAAGCGTTTCATCACAAAATACAACACAACCTTCCAAATACTACTTCATATATACATTAAAAACATCACTGACCACATATCAAAATTTTTAAAGAAATATAACGCCAAAATCAGATTGACCACTTTGCAAAAATCTCTCAACATGCATGTTAAAAAAGCAACCTAATATACTTTACTTGTCAAATAGTTACGATGACGAAAGAAGAAAAGTGACCTTTTTGTTAGTATTCGAAAGTTTACAACTGAAAATATATTAAATATCTGATGTTCAACACTCTGCGTGGAGTATTTTGACGTTTTTGCTCAATTTAGGATTCCGGCGTCAACCCAGGCCCCAGATCGGTCAAAACTATTGTAACATTGAGCGTGGACAAAGAAAACAGCCTGGACAATCCTTCTTTTTCAAAAGCGAAATACACCATCGCGTATTCGGAGGTTTCCGGTTCTCCAATTTTGACCCCCGAGGAAGTTATTACCGCTTCAACCATCAAAATAGGCGACATAACTAAAGTCAACCTAGACGGCGGTAGGTAATTTCGTAAGAAAATAATTTCCATATTCTACTTTGGGGCTCGTTCTAGACTATGCAAGTTATTTTAAGGCTCAGAATGAAGGCAATATTTTTACCATTACCTGTGAAGGCTGGCCCGACGAATCTGAAAACATGGTCATTTTGACGCTTAGCTTCGAGACTGATTTCGTTGCTAGTGCCACTTTACTGATAACGAGAGATAACGTGGACATGGATACACCAACTTTCGAAAATAGTTATTACACGTTCAGCTACACACTTGAAGGAGATAGCCCGACACTTGTGCCTACAAGTGGAGATGTTACCGTCCAAACGAAAAAGCCTGGCAGCATTACTAACTTAACTTTAAATGGAGGTAAGATGAACTCGCTAACCCCAGAAAAATTGGCTTTCGAAAGCCAGTTCTTTATTCAAGTTTTTACTCTCCCATAATTTGCTTAAGGTACCTTAATTAGTGGTAACTAGTGAGGTGAGTAGATATTCCTCTCCATTAGAACTAACCTAGGATTGTTCGCCACTCGCCATATCACCACTTCAATTCTTTCAGACTACGCCGAATATTTTAAGTGTTCTCTTGAAAGCGACTCCAAAATAACTATCGACGCAACCACTACTCAGTTGCCCTCAGATACCGAAACCCCCGTAGTTTTAACGTTGAGCTTGGAAACGGATGCTATAGCTTCCACGATTCTAGTTGTAAACGTCGAAGACCAACCTACGGATCAACCGACTTTCACGGAATTATATTACGAGTATAACTACAAGCAAAATAGCGATGTTCCTTCGCTGGAAGCTACCAACGGACCTCTCTCAGTGGTTACCGACAAGCCGGAGCAGATAACTGAGGTCGCGTTGAAAGGAGGTAAACTGATTCGTCACGTTGTTAATTTTGTTTGAAGGAGATTGTTTCTTTTAGAATACCAGGAATATTTTTTTTTGACACGAGAATCGGATCAAAAGACCATTACGATATCCGCCACAGAAGACAAAACGTTGCCGACTAATGCTCCAAATCCAATCATCCTAACCCTTAGCCTTAAAACTGACAACCTAGCAAGTGTTCCGATAGTTATTTCTACAGAAAACGCAAATGTAGAAGAAGATGTGCCAGTTTTTTCAAAATTGTTCTACATGTTTGAATATTCAGAGTCTAAAGGATTACCAATACTGATACCTCCTAATGATCTGATCTCTGTGTCGACCGAAAAATCAAACGATATATCAGAAATTAACTTAGACGGAGGTAATTAAGTATGCCTTTGATCGGTAACAATTATCAAAAACCGGTCCAGTGTAAATCTCTTATTCTTTAAAGTGGTGTACTTGGATTTATTTTAGATTATAAGGAATATTTTGAATGCCATCAAGAAGAGGATAATGTTACACTCACGGTTACTTTGAAGGATAAACCATTGCCTTTCGATGTTGTGGGTCCCATTGCATTAACGCTGAGTCTCAAAACAGATAAAACTGCCAGCGCGGCAATCATAATCTCCGTGGAACATGAAGCAACAGCGGATGAAGACGTGCCGGTATTCTTAGAATCGTATTATGTATTAACATATACAGAAAAAGATGATATTCCAAATCTAACCCCACCAGCAACAACGATATCCGTAGTTACTAAAAAGCCTCAAGATATCGAAGACATTACGTTGACTGGCGGTAAATACATATTTTGTGCTTAAGAACACGAGTATACACAAACAGTCACAAACACTATATAGACAACCACGACCTTCACTTACGGTAATATGGAAAACATTACTAGAACAGTACACGAAATGGAGAGACAATGACAATTGATACGTGTACATTTTGGAATAATTTCTTTTCAGATTATAATGAATATTTCCAATGCATGCAAGAGTCAGATAATATTACATTCACAATTGCTCTGAAAGACAAACCATTGCCGTCCGATGTTGTCACCGCAGTGGTCTTAACATTGAGCCTAAGAACTGATCACGTTGCCAATACCACCATAATTGTGTCAGTGGAAACTAAGACTGAAGAAGATGTGCCTGTTTTTTCAAAAGCGTCCTACATGTTCACGTATTCGGAATCTGGAGGATTACCAATACTGACTCCTCCTACTGATGTCATCTTTGTTGTCACTGAAAAACCCAACGAAATATCGGACATCAGCTTAGAAGGAGGTAATTAAGTACACTATATAAATGGAATAGCAAAAATTCTAGCCTAATGGATTATGTTCTAAACTGGTGAACCTGGGATCACTTTAGATTATAAGGAACACTTCGAATACCATCAAGAAGAGGATAATGTTACGTTCTCAGTTAATTTGAAGGAAGTCCTATTGCCTTTTGATGTTGTCGGTCCCATTGCATTAACGTTGAGTCTCAAAACAGATAAAACTGCCAACGCCGCGATAATGATCTCCGTGAAACATGAAGCACCAACGGACGAAGACGTGCCAGTATTTTCAGAACCTTATTACGTATTGTTTTATAATGAAACTAATGATAATCCAGCTTTAACACCAGCATCATCCACGATATCAGTGGTTACTAGAAAACCGCAAAACATCGAAGACATTACGTTGACTGGAAGTAGATACATATATATACAACAAACGCCACTAACAGAAGGAACTTGACATCATTTCATTTTTAGGCGTGTGACAAAATTATCAATACACAATACGAAACTGAGAAACAATTACAGTTAATACGTGCAGAGTTTGGAATTATTCCCTTTCAGATTATAACGTATACTTCCAATGCATGCAAGAGTCAGATAATATTATATTCACAATTTCTCTGAAAGACAAGCCATTGCCGTCCGATGTTGTCATCCCAGTAGTGTCAACCTTGAGACTGAAAACTGCGAATACTCGGATGTCACCTTCCGATCAATACTTCAATTTAATAACTTACAAACCGCAAGAAGTAAAAGATAGGGGAACTAGTCGCGGCTAGACAAGGCACGGATGTGGATACAGATTACAGTTTAAATGCTTGGGGTAATAAGGTTTTGGCCTCTCCGTCACAGAGACAAGATAGACTTTATACATAGAACATGAGTTTAGGTTTGCTTCCTCTTGTTCATTTTATAGTCTACAGTTCTACCTTTATTATGACGAACTCCCCTTGGTGACCAGATGCATTAGGAATTGCTTAGCCGGTCTTTGTAAATCCGTTTATTATTGGTTGTTCTAGCAATTTATTTCCTCAATACAAAAACTTTTTTACCATTTACCTTGAGAAACCTTCTCCGGCTGTTTCATAATAATAATACCATATAATACCTTATTCTAACATGTCCAGACCATCACACCGACATGAATTTTCTTTTTAGATTACGCGAAGTATTTCGAGTGGCATCAGGGGGACGATAATATAACATTTACAATCACGTTGAAGGACGAACCTCTTCCAGAGACCACAGCCAGTCCAGTCGTGCTAACATTAAGCCTTAAAACTGACAACGTCGCCCGCGTTGTGATACTCGTCTCCATAGAAAACGCAACCGCACTAGACATTGATGTTCCCGTGTTCTCCAAAGCGTTTTATACTCTTACTTATTCCCTATCAACAGAAGTCATAACATCCAGCGATACGATTTCCTTGGTGACAGAAAAACCAAGCGACATATCAGAAATTCGTTTAGAAGGAGGTAAATAATGACCCGTCTGTTACTTGTTCTAGTTAAATTAAATTTCGGTTTGTATTTTTTTTATTCGACTACGAGTTGTTAATTTTCTTGCTTTGCTTCGAAATACATTGTTTGTTTCAGAGTATGAAGATTACTTTATCGTTACCCACGCGGAAGATGCGAAAACGTTCGAAATTTCAGTGAAAGATGAAAAACAGCTACCGTCGAATGCACCAAGCCCAGTACTCTTAACACTAAGTGTCCAGACAGACCGTGCAGCCAGTGTCGCCATAGTCATAGCAATAGATGGATCGACTGAAGTGGTAGTGGACGTGCCCGTGTTCACGCGAAGCTTTTACTCTTTTAATTACTCCGAGAAGTCATTGGCACCCCACGATGGACCGATCTACGTGGTGACCAAAAAACCAGATAGCGTTACCGACGTTCAAATCGATGGAGGTACGTACCTAACCATAATAACTATAATTTTATTTATTCTCGAAGCAAGGTACCTTCAAGCGGTTGACGTTGAATCCTCCTTTGAGCTGCGATTCCAGCTAGAGATTTTAGGTAGATATCTGCAGGTTCGAGGTAGTTTTCATAACAATAAATGGCAGACAAACTAAGTTTGACGGAACTAAATCAACGAGAAAATTGGAAGTTCAGTCACTTTTTATCACATTTGTCGACAAAAATTCTCCCTGGAGCTACTCTTCATTGCAGCATTTAGAATGTTTTGACGTAGTTTTTGGTTATAAATAACTTTGTTGAATTTGACCGAAATCGACCAGAAAAATTGGAGCTTCGCAATTTTTTTTGCTTTCTTTTTTGTTTAAGATGCTCCTTTGAGCTACCTTTTAACATAAAAAGTAGGGATCTACATCCATAACTGTAACTTTAAATCAGACTATTTCTACTGTCCAACCATTCCAACGAATCTCACTATTGAAACTGTCATTCTTTTGGTAGTTTTTTCAAGTTTCTTTTAAAATTAACCACTGTAAAATTTCTTTATTCATGCTATGTTTTGCTCTTATCTGTCTGCTTCTTTAATTATTTTGCGGTTTGAGATTAACATTGAAGAAAACAATTTTTATCGAGCTAAATATTGAGAGGCAGCGGCCTATTTTATCTTCTATTTTCATTTGATTCGCTAATGAACTGGACTGCTTCCAGACTACGCGAAATACTTTTCCTACAAGCAAGGCGAAAACGAAACAAGCTTCATCCTCACGCTAGAAGTTGATCTACCGTCCGATGTGGAAAGTCCGATTACGCTAACGTTCAGTGTGACAACGGACACAACCGCTAGAGTAATCCTTATCGTTTTTGTTGGTAACGACTCGCCCGAGATAGATATAGATATTCCAACGTTTTCCCGGTCATACTACTCCTTCACCTACACTGAAAATGATGGAAAAGCTCTGCTTGCCTCTAACGACGGTGATGTCACGGTAACGACGCAAAAACCTGATAGTGTTAGCGATGTGAAGCTGTTGGGAGGTAAGAATTATCAACAAAAGATCTGGCAACATTCAGCGAAAATGGATATTTTCCTAGATTACCGGGAATATTTCGCAATAAAAGTGGATAAGACGACAATAACATTAACTGTCTCGCGAACTCTGCCAAATAACACACCCACGCCCGTGATTTTGATGCTGACCTTGAAGACTGATGTCGAGACGAGCGTGAACTTCATCGTGAACATCAAGAATGAAGATTCAACCCCACAGTTTAGCAGCCCTTACTTCATCGGAACTTACAACTCAACCACCAAGCAGATCGACATGGATGACAAAATCGAAATAACAGGGAATCCAACACTGAAAATATCCGAGGGTAAGTTTCATAACCAATTGGCGAGCACAGAAGCAGCTCTCTATTTTTTGCGCAGACTCTGGCTGTTCGTCGTACTTCGATTTGGTAAAAGACGGCAGTGGATATCGTTTAGCTGTCACCAAAGCTTTACCATCGGACGTACTAGAACAATCTAGTTTAGTTCTAGTTGTGGTCGCCCGGTTAAATGGAAAGGACGTCGCATTCGCGACAGTGGTCATTAATCTGCCTGTTGAATCGATGCTGCCCCCTAGTGAATCCGACGACAAATCCTCAACCATTACGGCTTATATGATAACCGTTATAGTTCTGTGCATTGTGCTGACCAGTATAATAGTGGCGATGATTTTGCTGTGGTATTTCAAAATTAGGTCAGTGATGATTTGCCAAAAAAACGCAAAGTTGTAAGTAGTGTGACTAAGCAGGTTCTATCCCAACATTATCCATGATCGCGTTTTTGGGAGTATTACGCTCAGCTATAGGTAACATGGCTGAAGAATGTATTGCACAATGTCCGAAGCTTGCGATCCTGGAAGACGAATGTTGCTTAAACGCCATATTAGTGTAGTGTTCATTTTTTGCAAGTCTTTTATTTAGTGAAAAATGCAAAAAATGTATTGGTTACCACTTAATAAAAAAAACAAACAAAAAGTTTTAAAAAAGACGAGGTAACGATAAAACTAAAAATTTAATCTTGATGTTTTTCCCTTCAGGAATACGAGTTACGTGGAGCTCGAGGAAACTTCAAGCGGCAACACAAATTTCGGCAAAAAAAACTCAAACGTGTACGTACTGCAGAGTACCCTCCATTTGCCCAATTTCTATTTCACGGGTATTTTAGAAACATTGACGACGTGATAAGAAGACCGACTGGATATCCGTTCGGACCACACGGGGATGCGACGTACACCGTGTCCGGAGAGGAAACGGCCAACGAGTATGACATTCCGAATGACCCTGAACTCAACAAAGGGAAAAGGGTGGCCTTCGACAACGTGGTTCAAAGTATAGATGTGGACGTCGATAGAGAACTTTCTGAAGGGTGATTAAGTCTATTCTAAATTTCAACTAGAGCATTGCCAATGTTTTGTTCTTTTCGGTAGCGGTAACAATCTCCCGCGTAGGCGTCCGACGGGTTTTGTTTTTAACCCCCCTCCACCGGAAGAGGACACTGTTAGCGTAGACAATCCAATCTACAAGAGCGAGTATGAGATTCCAATAGATGCTGGGCAAAACAACATCCTTTATGCTGAGGCCGACAGTGACAGGTAGAGACTTTGCACTTAGAATCCTTATTTTTAATAAAGAGAAGTTTTCTCTGTTGTGGATTGCATCTTTAACTCCCGGGTTAATATCTTTAACTTGTGTTGCATATTGCGTTTTTTTTGTTGCGTTATTTTTATTAAGGTTTGTTCATTTGTCCACATTATAATTCAAATTTTGAATCATATCAAGTCACTATGGTCTGTTCCTTAATGTTAGAGAGTTAGAATTATTATTCAACTGCCAAATTTTGAGGTCTTCTTCGTATAGGCCATAGTATTGCATCATAGTATTGTACCTATATGCCTGACTGTTTAAAATTAGAATTACAGTTACTTTCCGGTAATAATAATAATACACTCTTCTTGATTAAGCTAATTATCCTACATTGCGTGTAAGAAGAAATTGTGGAAAACCTTGAAGAAAATAAATTTCGTTAAAAAAAATCAAAACAGAAAATCACTTTTAATAGAGAAGGAAGAAATTATCTAGCTACGACGATACTCGAGAGCAGTTGGGCAGTTGATAATAGTTTCGAATGGGAAATAAGAATATCTATTACTTGGATGGAACTTTAGTATATGACGGATATACCGTTGAGAAAACGGGCCAGGATAAAAGTTTAAAAAGCCCGAGGTCCCCACGATTAAATGCATCCTCGGCAAAAGGTAAAAGATTAATAATTCCTCACATTGGTACAAAAATGAATTTGTCGGTTGTGGCATAGCAGCATTTCAATCAAAACGAATACGAATGACACCATTAAGACTAATGAATTTGCCTACTTCTAGCAAATACTACATTTTATTCTTTCTGTCAGGTACCAGTCTGAAAAATCCTAAAAAATAACCAGATATTAAATACGAAGCGATTTCAGTAAGATTTGATGACGACAGGTCTCGATTATCTACCTATTTCTATAATTATGTTATACAGAATTTGAAATATTAATAAACTACCTGCGGTAATGCCGCTGTCACATTATTTTCATCCATCAAACTAGTCTTTTCAGTTTTCAGTGTGTACAAATTAGTATGACCGTAGCAACGATTCGAGGTGTGTAGGGCTAAAAAATGAAATACAGAATTCATCGGAAACTATCATTGCAATTTACATCAACGATATAACGTTTAAGTTTAAGGATCGCTGTTATTTGAAATACATATTCTATTATTCTGTCTTATTAAGAAACTTAGCATAGACGTTTCGTAGGTTAAGCAAAATAGACGCCAGTTCAAACGGGCTGACGTTCGGATATCCGATGGAAGAGGGTCTCTACGAAACATCGGATTCGCTAGGCATAGACAAGGAGAGAAAAAAATCGGTCGCGTTCGACGACAGAATCGAAAGAATGCAGATAGATGCGGTGAAGGATGACGAGGATGAAATAAGCGACAGCGAAAACTTAGACAGGGCCATCTAAACAGATTTAAACGTTGTAAATTAAGTATTGTTAATAAACGTTATTTTTCTACGTCTCCGATTTTATCATAGTTTGGTGAGTACGTGCGTTTTTTAATTGTAAAACTCGCAGAATTAGATCACTTCGATATTTAGTTTAGTATATCTGTTCGTGATTATCTCGGGAAACTTCAAGTGGCTACTGACATATTTGCGGTGTGACATGAATTGTTTGTATTTAAACGGGACACTCGAAGCAAACTCATTAAAAGAAAATTACCTCGGCGTTTTTGTCACTTTCGGGGAAATTTTTTATTGCGCTTTAATAAAATCATCTGGCAATAATGAAGATGTGGCGCGTCATTTACATTCTAGTTGTTTGCGCTGGAAGCTTTGCAGATGCGCAAGGTGAGTGTCAGTAGTTCTTGTTATTATTAATTTATTTGTACATCGAGTTCTGTTTTTGATGGTTTTACGGCGTATCTCCCTTATAAAAAAAGCTGGCCTGTCGCTTCTTTGTACCTTGCTTTTTGTTTAAATAGAAGCTTACATAAACAGAAATGTTATCTTTGTCTTGCACTAATTAACTTGTGTTTGTTTAATGTTACAAGATACGGAATGTATCTTTTATTATATTTATTTTTAGATATCCTTGAGCTGTCATGACATTTTGTAATTATATTAATTACTACTTTCCCTTCCTTCTGCTGTGGCTCAAAATATGACAATAACAATGCGCATTTAGTATATACTACACATACAAAAGCTGCTTTAAAAAATATAACATTTAAGAAATAATATTAAGATATACGCTCTATATTTAAAATAAACCTTAGGTGTTTTTAGGTTTTTAAAAAGTAAAAAAGCATTCTAATCAAATTATTAAAAGTCATACCGTTAAATAAATACAAGCGTATTATAGGCATCAAATTTTTTGAGTTTCAGAACTGACTACACCACTGGATTCTACGTAAAAAACTTGACTGAGATAAACTTCCACTTTTTCCATAAGCGATAAACCATTTTCAAGTAAAAAATAACTAAAACGTCAACATTACGTTTTAGCCGGAAATTGTACTTTTTAAGTCTTCGTATTATAATTAAAAAAAAAATTGTCAAAAAATAGTTGACAAAAAAACACACCAATATCAAGATCAAGATTTTCAAAAGATCTAAATCCCCAAATGTTTTTATAGCTGCTCCGTAGAATTGGCGGATTACAGATACATTTTGCTTACTAAGTTATTGGTTCATTTGTGGCATTTCAATTTATGCACTGTGGAAATTTTGCTAGGGGCACGTTATCCAAAAAATCACGTAGTATTTGGTTTAAAATTGCCAGATATCAATCTAATATGGAATTTAATTTTTGTTCCCAATTTAAAGCAAGGGGCGCTAAACCCAAACCTGTATTGTTGATGATGTTCTCTTGTTAAAAATTGATTTTTCATATACCAATGCGTATTATTAACCTTATTGAAAATATCACTACAACTTATATAGGGTTCGTCGGAACACATCACGTTTCTACCGAAGTTGGGATCAATGTGGGTTTTTTTAAGATATTAGTTATATATTAGTTATTAGGCGGCTTTCTCCAGCTTCAGCTCCATAGAGTTTATGTGTATATTTTATTAATATCGTTTGCGTTTATGATTTTGAGAGCCCAGCAGTTTCCTTCGCGTGATTGGCCTCAACATTTGTTAATACAATACCTCATTGTTCTAGTTATTATCATTCTATAACATAAGGTAAATTTAAAAAAAGTTTCTTTTTAAATCAGCATCATAAAAATTAATAATAAGTAACTATAATAATAACCAAACCATCATATCATACTTATGACCATTTTCAAATTGGTTCATTTTTTCCTAATTCGTTCAATAACGTACATTTTCGTGATAACTTACGTTTTTCTTATAAAATTGCATTTCCAAGGCTTGCTGTCGCAATTTTTACCTTTTTTCTATCCTACAAGGTATCCGAAATATGATGCCACCCCAAAAAGCGCAAAAATTCTATTTCACCCTGTATCTCGACAACGAAACAAGTTGATTTCACGAAACCGTTGACAGCACAAAGGATAGTTTTTTTTGTTGTATTGTACTATTTAATTAAAAATAAAGTTTTCTCCTGTTTTTCATAAGCTCCTGAGGATCCTAAAGGCACTTACACGAATTTCGCACTATCGCGAAGTAATAGACGAAACGCGTAAACAGTTGATTTACGAGGTAATATTCAATTCCATTTACAGTCAATGAGTTACTTCAAAAAATGGCACTTTTCAGTTTTTTGTTCATAATTGGGACACCCGGTGCATTTTTGACTAAATCACATTTTTACGTTCCTTTCCCAAATCTCGCGCGTCTTCTCGTTCAAAAATTTTCTCAATCGGACATACCTTTTATGAAAAAATCTTTTTTTTTGTCCCTGAAAGAATTCTTTTTTTAATAAATACTTCGGAGCTTCCTATCCCGCCTAGTTCCATCTGGGGGTGGAGTTCTAAATTAGATCCGAATTTTAGGTCTGAATCTTAAAATTTCGAACACTCACTTTGTTTCATAGCGATGTTCCGGGCAAAAACCATTAATAGTCGACAAAATGTGCGCCGATACGCATCGCCTAGTGTTAGTATGGAGGAAAATTTTAAGCTCGGACTTCCAAGGGTTTGACCGTTATCCGGCTTCAAAAATTTCCGGCAGGTCCTCTACGAAGAACAGAGATCCAACGCTGAATCGATTTGTACCAAAGGCGATAACGTACGATGTCCCGTACACAGACTTCGAGTTTAGTGAGGAGCATATACACTTACGCAGCGTACATATTTTTCAAATTTTCGGGAGTACTTTAAAAAAAATCGAAAAAAAGAGGCAGTTTGTTTTCTCGCCTCAAGTAGATAAGGAATTATTAATAAGTGAAAAAAACTGTTAATTGTAATTTACCTGCAATTTTACTTACAGAATGCTCAATAGATGGCGGTGACGTATCAGTGTCCCTCACAATTGACGACACTCACGTAAATGAAGTAATGTTTACTGGACTGGCAACCGGAATTACCGGTAAGTATTTTTCTTAAAAAGATAAGCACATTATATGCTAGCCGGTGATAAAACTGTCAAAAGGCAGTACAGTTTTTTAAATAGTTGAGTACGTATATGTCCTGAAGTAAAATAGGTCAGTTTACAACGTCCTTCGACGTTGCCCGACAGTCCTCAGGTTGGCCGATTCTAATTTTGGTATTTCTCGTTTTCTTTTGCCTGTTGCCATCGGATATATGGCACTCTTTTCATGTGTTCGTACCATGTAAGTTGTTTCTTCCCAATATCCTGCATTCTGCGACTTTTGTTCCTACCCGTTGTTTTACGATTATGCCTTCTCCGTTACAAGGGCCTCAACTTTTTTCATGTGTCTGTCGATTTCTGAGCCATATGGGAGGGTCCTGTTTACCATTGCCTCATAAATTTACATAATATTCCATTCCGAGCACAGAGTAATTTTCTGGCTTCATTCGTCATGAATTCTTCCGAATTCTTGATTTTGATACCCTGGGGGGTATCAAAATTCAAATATCTCTCTTTTCTATAACTTGTTTTAGAGATATGTGTACATGATCTTCCTACCTCAAAAACTCATTGTCCTTTCTGTTCTTTTTCTTTATAATCCTCTTCAATGAGATCAGGTAAATTCTGCCATCGAACCTGCTTCACTGTGCGGGTAATCGAGAAGCCCTGATAATTATTCCAGCCCCCTTTAATCTTTGTGGTTGAAGGAGATTAGGCATTCAATCTTTGAAGACGAGATACCCATTCAAGCATTCATTCATCGTAGCATTTCGGAACTTTGGATCACTAGATTTACCTGGTTTAAGGTTCATAACAGTTTTTCTCGCCATTTCCTCAGGTATCTCAATATCCTCCGATCAATATCCTCCGATCGTATATTACAGTATTGAGTCTTGAAGACTCAGTTATATATTCTTGACCTGATATTCTGATATTCTGATATTCTATACCTGAATTAGGTTTTTATAGTGTCATAAGCATTTTAATCATTTGAATGTTTGACCCGTCTTTTCCAGGGTTCTTCAAAGTTTTCTTCCTCCTACATAGCTGTTAATTTCTTCACGTTTCCTAGGCCAAGACTCTTTTTTTCTATGTTAAATTGCACTCTTAGCTGTCTTTTTATGTATTTTCACTCTTAAGGTCTCGTTCATTTTTTATAGTTAGGCATTGGAGACTTATTTTTTCTTGAACCATTGTGTCTATCTTTCCATTCCACCAACGTTTCTTTTTTGTGTTGTTCTTCTTTACTACTATAACCTCTTGTGTGGCTTCCTTATAATGTTCTCATAGACGTCGTCAAGCGTGTATTCTTCAGGACCGAGAAGTTTACTGTTGATCTTTGATAAAGAAATGCTGTGCTTTCATACTTAAGACCGATAATTATCTCAATGATTTTACTACATAGTGGCGGACTATCTCATCCTTCATTTGCAAATTTATTTATTTAAGATTTCGAGTATCCTATATCATGTATACATGGATGCAGTAAAATAAAACATAGGAAATAAGTGAAATTACGATACTGATAACTTAATGTACAAGTATTTTCTAAACAACAAGAAATCGTCAATACTTTTTTTTCAAAAATCGCAATTAACAGAGAGCCAATTTTAACCTCTGCCAGCCGCTTGTTATAATTGCGATAACTTTTTCAGGCGTGTCGCTTCTCTCCCTATATGTTTCCGATTCTGCAGTAGAAAAAACCATGGCGATGTCTTACTTCAACTACAGTCTAGATGGAAATTTTACTCTGAGTACCACCAAAGAATTCTCAAACGTCGACCAAGACTCTTACACCGCAGGACAAAACTTGGCTATCAGTCTGGCTTTTATTTTCGAATGTCAAGTTATCAGAGACCCGCCTCTCAGTTTGGTGAGTTACATTTCTCATACAAAAAGCGATTTCTTACGACTTGGTGTCTCAGGCTTTTTTTGTAACGGTGTTGGACACGAATAATCACCCGCCTGAGTTTTCCGCGAACATATTCGAGTTTAACGTGCCTATGCCCATCATGCCTAAAATGGATTTTTCATTGTATGGATCAACGGTCGTAGAAGCTACGGATATCGATTTTTCCAACACCTTGATAAGTTTTATGGTGGAACCCGATGACTTCGAAGTCGGTGGATTTCAAACTGGCAACAAGTCGTTCACGGCAACTTTTAGTGCCAGATCGCTGATGTGGCTATCCCAACCAAAAACATATACCATTGTGGCGACGGTAAGTAAGGTGTAATGATGGCCTCCGTTGTTAGAAGTGTATAACAAGGCTAATTATTTTGACTTTTCGTATTACCCTTATCGACGATTAACAGAGAGACAAATAAATCTCCTGGATACCTATGTCGATTGTTATTTCGCCAATCATTCTATCGATTTTTTCAGAGCTTAACTCAACCTGGATTGCATTCTAGTCTGTACCTGCTGCGGAGTTAAAGGAGGGACATGTTTCGGATTGGTGAAAGCACAAGATTTTTTGATTGTTACCGAGATTTCTATGGACTCTTAGATTGGTTGAATAACATTTGATGTCCAGTTATAATAATCGGCAAATGCTGATGAGCTATTTATCGCAGTCTTAAAGCTGTTTCATGTTCTTTTTGCCTAGTTTTCGTCATGTCTCGCATTGTTGTACGCATATGGAATACTGTATACTCTCAGTGTCTCAAAAAAAATGCTGGTTTTAACATTATATTTCATCACAAATTTTGATATTGTGATCAGTAATATTTTGAATGTAAGGAAAGGCCGCAGTAGTGAGTGAAGCAATAGAACGCCTAATATCTCTGGAATATCTATGAAAATTATTTGCGAAAAAGAGCAGATGATGGCTCCGTACACGAGAGAAACAAGATTTCAATAATCATTTTCGTGGATATGAAGGCTAGTTTGGTTGACAAAGATCTACGCCCACGATAGAATGGATCTTTCCTGCGAAGTTCTGGTGGAGCGATTAGTACCTAAAATTAGGCGCACACTTTGATTCAGTTTCCGATCTACGAGTCTTGCGTAGGGACTGTTGAGCCAAACAGAAGCGCAGGACTTAGAGCATACATAGACCACAGTGTTCGTCGACTGCAACTCAGCCAAGAGACTGAAAAAATGTTTCTTGAAAGAGACAGTACCATCTAGGGTTATGTCTAGATATTTAGGCCAATTATTGTATCTCAAACGGGTGTTGCTGAAGGTGATATTTAGTTCTGAATTCGAGAGTCTATTATCTAGATGAATCCAGGACACTTGTTTTTTTTATTATCCTCGGAAGTAGTCGCCACTGCTTGAAGAATGTTGATGAATGCTGATATTGCAGTCAAATTAGTAGTAAGTTCATTTATGAATTGTACGCTTCCACCGAGTTTCCTTAGTAACATCCAAGCCTGAGCAACTCGTCAGCCCATTGGAATATATTCTCTGTGGCAACCACAACCCCTCGCCATCTCTCAAATTTCTCTAAGAATGGTGAATTGTGCTTTTCTGAAATTCGAGCTAGGCGGTGGGGTGGATCGGAGGAGAAATTTTAATACTAATATTGATCAATACACGTCAGTGTTGGCTTTTGAGAAAGTTAAGTATGACTTTCCTGTTAGTTGGGACTAGTCATTGATCGGAACTTCAGCCGGAACACAGATCATCAGCGGCTGATCTGATTGCGCCGATATCATTCGCGTCAAAGATAAGGTGATGGTTATTCCTTTCCGTCCAATCCACTAGAGCAACGCCATTAGTATCACTTCTGGAGTAGTTCCATTGTTTATGGTGTTAATTGAAGTCTCCGATATATTTTTCCGGACGATTGAAGGGTATTAGCACATCTTGTGCCTATTAGGTTCCTTGATTTTTGTTCGAGGTTGTGATGTTGGTTCCTTGTACCTTAATTGTAATGGTGTCAGTCAGTCTATCTTTGCCGATATTAATTAAGCAGGTTCAATATTGTTGGCTAAAACAATCATGAAACCGGGCATCAAATTGTATTACACCAAACTAAAATTCTTGCAGGTCTCGCCAATATTGGAATCATTCATTCCTCCTTTAGCTTCGCTTCCCTCAAACAGTATATAAGCAAGTATCAATATTCTCATAAGTCAAAAATATTTTAGAAAAAAAGTCATGCGAACCCAGCTAGTCTTAGATTTAGGTAGTTGTCCATCAAAATCTTCATCTAAAAAATACGAGATTGGTGCTGCTACTGAATATATATAATTGTAAAGTTGTCTCACGCATGTCTAGGATGCTGGGAAAATTCCAGGACCATTGTCAACCAACGCCACACTAATTATAACGGTAGACCAGAGTGCAGGTCTGGACATACCCTCGTTTTCAAGGGCCACCTATGCATTTACGTATTCCGAAACCACTGGGTCGCTGAGTTCAGATGAAAGCATCGTTGCCGTTACCAACAAGGTCGACAAGATTGACAACGTTGGCTTGAACGGATGTGAGTGTCTTTTCCGGTTTCGCGAAGCATTTCCCTAAAGTTCCCTATTTTAGTGTACGCTTCGTATTTTCAAGCAGATCGACAGGGTGAAACGTTTACTATAAGGATCAACAGCCGTTTGCCAATTAATACCGAGTATCCTATAATATTGACGCTGAATTTCCAAACAGACGTACTTGCAAGTACTACACTAATAATTGCCCTAGAAGCCGTCGAATTGGACAGCCCCACATTTAGTAAAGATTTCTACAGATTCAATTATGTTCGTGAAGCCTTTCAGATACAAGCAATCGACGGACCGGTCATCTTATTCACTTCAAAACCGGATGGTGTATCAAACTTAACTTTAACCGGAGGTATGACATTCTTGTTACCAACTTCCATTATGTTGACCAATTGCTTTTTCAGAATATGCGCAGTATTTCATTTGCACTTTAGTGGAAAATGATCAACAGACTATTAAGGTGGTACCTTCCGACGTTGTCTTGCCTGAGACTTCTGGAAGCGTAATTCCTTTAGAGTTAAGCTTGACGACTGATGCGCTTGCAAAAACGACTTTAATCGTAACGATAGAAGAGAAAGCTTCCTCTCAGCTATATTTTGCTACGGTATTCTACACCTTTGAGTACAAGATTGTCGACGGCCAACCCATATTAAACTCAACAGATGGAAACATCTCGATATATGCCTCAAATCCAGAGGATGAAGTTAATGTCACATTCGATGACGGTAAGATAATGAAGGGGTTATTTTGGAAAGCTCCGTCTGTGCTTTTTAGGATTGGAATACGTAGAATACTTCAGCGTTATAAAGCAAGGATCCGGGTTTCATTTACAGCTGCTTCGGCCTTTACCTTCTGACGCGTTAGAGACAAAATCAAGCATCGCTCTGAAGCTAGTTGCTCAAAACAGTGAAGGAAATATAGCTTATGCAACTGCGATTATTAATCTACCTGCAAGTGATGTTGCGACGGACAATTCCGCTTTCAATGCGAATATTTACATGGCTGCAGTAATAGTCCTCTGTATCCTGCTGCTTGCTGTGGTTATGGTTGCTCTATATCTATGGTGCCTCAAAAGACGGTAATAAACTATAATGCTCTAAATACGTGTATATATTTCCACGACTCGTTAAAGGTTATCACTATATGTCAAATTGATGGAGTCTTCCATGGTCAAAGACGTACTACTAGGAACACCTAAACAAAATATGTAGGTATACTAAAAGAGCCTTCTGTTTAGTCAGACTCGATAATTGTGTTTCACGAGAAATTTTATAATCATTTCCGTTCTAGAAGACCTTCAGGTACAATGATAGACGCAGTTCCAGGAGACCAAACCACGAACAGTGGCGTTACGTATCGAAGTGAATACAGAATGCCTATAAGAGATAACAGGGCTGTTGAAATTTTATCCGTTGATTTAAAACGTTTAAACGCAGAGTAGGTTTTGGTTTGACAGCCTATTTATCTACTTTTTTTTCACTAATATTTTAGTAGGTGAACTATTCACTGAAGTCCAAGGACTATGCAGAGTAATTTATTGGAACAACGGGTAAAGAGACAATCGAATATTCGAAGACGATTAATTTATTATATTTTTTTTGGTGTAGCAGATATTTATTAATTATAGTTTATCAAATTGTTTGTTTGTTTGAGGCTGTTAAGTGTTTATTAGGGAGCTACTATCCTTATCCTATACCCTTGATAACTTTTCAAGTTTACAGACACTAATTTGCTCTCCGCTACATTAAAATTGACCAATCCAGTTCCAGATAACATTTACGCTTTTAAGCTTTAAAGATTTAAGTAAACATATTCAGATATTTTAGACACAAATCTAGATAGATAGATTATAAAATACATAATGATTTTCCAAAAACTAAAATAGAGTTTTAAATATCTCCCTTTTCTAAAATATTCTTTATTTAGCAGATGTTGCCAAGTTGGTTTTTTCTTTCTGCTTATAAATGGCGTTTCTTGCAAAGACCTTAGTAAAATATTTCGTTCAAATTAATTAATACCTTTCAATAATATTAAAGCCATAAACCAAAATTACGTTAAATCCGAATATCGATTTTGAGACTTCAAAATTTAGCGAGATATATAGATCACACGACATTTTTTTTTCTTATACTAATAGAGCAAACATTTTTGTGGTAGCTGGTCTCCCTCGTTTTCTTTTATTTGTTGAAGCATATTCAAAAGCTTTTCTAGCCATTTATTTTCCTCCATTCGTCTAACATGCCAATACCATACCAGTTGTCTTGTTTCAATTCGTTCAGTTGTTCTGTGTATTCGATTTGTGCGGCGTCTAATCTCGTCAGTTGGTATGCGATCTAACGTAGATAGGCGACATGATTTTCTAAGAAAATCCATTTCTTTAGCTGGCAACATTCTGATCCGTATGTCATTATTGGTTCTACGATTGGTAAATTGTGTGGTGTATTGTAAATTTTGTAGTACAGATGAGCCTTTGTTAGATATAATTCCACCAAGGTCATTGATTAACCTGTCTTATCCACAAGTCGGGACCTTCGTCTTCTTTACCTACTTTTAAGTATTCTGTTTTGGTCATGTTCATTTTCATTCCCGCTAGATTATATTCATCTTGTAGTTTCCTTAAGATATAATCTATATTCTCTTCACCATTTGCAATTAGTACCTAACCAGCAGCAAAGAATAATGTTGACAAGTAGTGGTCGGCAACCCATATTTGAGCCTTTTTGTATCCATTTTTGTAGTATTTCTTGTATAAAATTTTTTGAACAAGTTAGGAGACAGTTAACATTGCTGTCACCCGAAATGGTTCTGACAAGGTGATTTGGGTTTTAACTACATGGATTCTTGTACATCTTGTGTAGAGCTCTAATGTATCCTTCATTTATGTCCGTTCTCGTCAAAATATTAAATAAAAGTTTTAAGGGTACTGTGTCGTAGGCTTTGTCAAGATCAATGAAGACAAGTAGTGAGGTTACGAGCAAAAAGTTTTTCTATAATTTGTACATACTTTTCTGCCTCCTTCTTATGGATAGAGCTAATGTGTGCTAGATTTCAATTTTTCGGAATGTCATGTTCTTTTGTAAGGCATATCTACACACACTTCTATCAGTATGTCCGGTTGGTGTTTCACCAACCCGATTGAAAAGTCTCTCAATCCTTGAGCCTTACTATTCTTCATTTCTTTTAGCTCGTTTCTTACTTCCTTCTTATTAATTACCTGAATTTCAATCCCGCTATCGATAATAACATCCATTTCTGTGTTCCTCAATAGTTTAGTTCTGCTATGTACTTCCCATTTTTTGAATCAGGTTTATATTTCCCAAATTTTGAACTGAGATGGCTTTTGCTTGATGAAAATCCATTTATCAAAATAAACAAGAACTAAAAGTTCAGATTTTCACGAAATTATATATTATAACATGACAATTGTTTCTACAACACCGTGTCTTTATCAAATGTCTACATATTCGGTAACGTAGAAGCAATTTAAAATACCAAATAGCCTGTGTTACTCTGCTCTCTCCGTCTTAAGAATTTCTTTCCCATAGCTCATTTTTCTTTTTTGATACTGTTCCTTTTGTCCCCCTGTTAAGTCTGACATACGCTTTCCGATCTTCTTGGTCTATAGTTTTTAGCCAAGTCATATAAGCCTTTTTCTTTTCGTTTGCAAGATCTTTTAAGTCGTCCGATCACCATTCAGGTTCGCTTTCTTGTTCTCATGTCTGTATCCTAAAGCTTCCTTTGCTGCTTCGTGGATGCACTTCTTGACTCACTGGTACTTCTCTTCCGCTGTTTGTAATTTGTATATCAAACCAAAATGATTTTGTTCTCGCGAGAACACAAAATAATAAGATTATTTCATTTCATTTAGCCCACAATTACCTAGATATTTCTTTTTGTTCTTATTTGTTCTTCCGGTAGTTCCGAGAAAGTTTAGTTTTCAACGTTGAAGGATGCTTCAGTTTTTTATTTTATTTGTGTAATTAATTAAACATGGGGCTCGGATCAGTTTAAAAATTACTGTGTGCCTAGGTTTTATCTATCGAATCATTCTTCTCGTGCTAATTCCATTCTACTTTCCTTTCCACGGATCTTCTTTCTGACTGGGAAGCTAAACCAGTCGTTATTACAGATACTGATAGCTGTCCTTCCTTGTGAATGTTATCCTTTCCTCTGTGTTCGGACAAAAAGACTCCTTTGAAGCTTCGCTGGCTTACTTACATACGGTTGCAAGTTTTAAAATCAATCTTTGGGCAGTAAATAATATTGAATTTTTTTGATCTGAACGACAGGCCATTTATTCATACGTCAATCAGCCGGTATGCGAGTTTGTAAAGCGTGATAATTTTCGTTTTTTTGCATGATCGGAAGGGATTTAGTTCGCTCCCTAAATGCCGTAACTGTCATCATACCATTTATTACCAGCACATAATTTAATATTGCCTAGTAATTTGTTTTAGTAATTATTACATTCCAATGACACTGCAATGTGCGCAACTAATAATAATGATCGACAGTACCAGCCATTAAAATATTTTGGTTGCCTGTGGGGCCGAGCCATAATAATGTTAGCGATATCTTTTATATGGCCGCCAAAAGTCACGTATACTGACTCAGGACGGACTAGCGACATGCCGTTCCAGCTATGCAAGAACGAACGACAATATGACGTACGCCGAAGAGCCAAAAGCCAATGTTGTAATAGGTGGACGAATAGATCAGTGCTTTGGTTTTTGGGGATACTTTTATTCAGGGTTGAAACCCTTACGCCTCCCCTTAAATTAACAATAATATATATGCCAAATGCATTAATTTGTTTTAAAAATTTCCAGTTACAGTTAGTCTCCATTAGCCGTGTCGATTCGTTAGAAGTGCCCGGCCCTATTTTGTTCTTTGGTCAAACTATGCAAATCGCCCGTTTTTCTGGCTTCACTTTTCCGTTGGTCGAGGTTTTGCAAGCATCAGGTTCGTAATGTTACTTATTTCAGCGATTTGGAACCCGTTTGCTGCTATTTAATTTGGTCGTAATGCCTTATCTTGCTTTTGGGTTAGTTACCTTTCGTTTAAGTACTACAAACTCCGTAAGGGGATATTCGGAAAGTTTCTTTTCCTACCGTTCCTCCATTTTGTTCAGAGCATGACGCTATTCGGATCCTTTGACATTTATTTCTGTTACTTGATCCTTTTAGATTAAAGTCAAAATAATTTCGCATCGACGAACCACCAAATTTCGACTGGTTACTTGAACAGAACCCGTGCAAAAGCATAAAAACTTTTCCTTCCTAAAATTAGATCTATTGCGTCTAATGATATATTAATTCTGTGTACTTGTCAGTAATTTAGTAAAAATAGCAACCCACGTTGGCTTAATAAAAAAAACACAAGAAAAATCATCTCAATATTAATAAAAAGTAACAGAACGATAATGAAGGGTTATTATTGGAGCTTCTTTGTTTCCAAAACGCAAGAACATGTATAACCACTTCAAACGTTCGATGGACTTGATTCAGTCCTCTTTGCTTTTTGTAGTTTTCATCATCCTCGTTTTCTAAAAAACTTCTGTTTGATCTTCTAATTATGGGGAATCGACTGCTTGATTGTGCCTGTTAATGTAAAAATAACAACTTCATTTACGTTTCAACTTTTAAACATTAGCACAAATGCGATTAAGCGACAGGGTACTCCTACGCACAAAAAACAGAACGTGAATAACTCTGTCACCAGCACATTCGTTATGTTTTCGTCGGTATAATCGAAATCATCTTACAAAAATGTATATATATCATACAATTTTCTACCAACTTGTTAGTGCAACAACTTTCATACAGTCCACTATTAAGTATGTTATCCTTGCATTAACACTGCTTTTTTGCATATTTCTTATCTTTCTTCTCTTCCTTACAACGTTCCTTTGCTGTCCTTTTTTCTGCCAACTTTCTATTGTTTTAAATATTCTCTTCCGGAGTTAAGATGGTAGCTAGCTCTCGATTACGCTTTTTAACACTATTAACCCTGACCCACGATATCTGAAGTTATTGGCGTGTCAGCATCGTGAATGTCTGTCTTCTCCAAGATTTTTGCAAATTATGGGATTATACTGGGCGATTACGTTGGGATCTACAGGATAGATTCCCGTGGATTGGAAAGCAGAGACAGCATTGTCCGCAGTAGCCGCCTTTGATCCCTTTCCTCCCAAAAACTTTGCGAGCTACATCCTGTTGATAGTACTGGTTGGGTTTGCTCGAATAGATGCGTTGCATACTGAGTAGTAATATGATTTCAGTCCGGTCTCACCTCTGTAAAAATTGAGTCGTGTGACTGGGCAGACAGTAATGTAGTGTACCCAGGTTACATACGACGAATGCCCAATTAAAAATGCCCCTGAGGCTTTCGAGGAATGTGTTGTATTTCCAGCCATAAGGGAGAAATTGAGGTATTTGCGTATGCTGCTTTTTCCGACTTAGTAACTGTGTAACCTGGGGGCATACCATCTTCATATTGACTTTCTCTGCTTTTTGCCTTTGAAGATACATAGTGGAGGGATGTAAGTCCCTTCTGATTTGAAACACATCATTAAAGAAATTGTTTCTCCTTTTTCTCCTGGTGGCAACGTGGGCACATTTCTGAGACTCTCGTTCAGCAATTATGTACTCCGGCTGGTTGTTTAATTAGAGGCCGGTTTCATCCATATTACACAAATTACTATGCTGGTTAATTAAACCATTTTCATGAAACGTTTGTTTGTTATATACAAATCCGTATTCCTTTCGAGAAAATAATACAAGCAATCTTTGCTTGTATTATTTTTTTTCAAAAACTGCTAATGAAACTCGAAAGGTCGTTGTTATTGTTTGGGTGATATTGTTCAGAAATTTTCATCAACACAATTTATCGGTAAAATGAAACGTCGGAAGATAACTAACACTGTGAATTTTTCAAAGCAAAAGTAACAAATTATCGCTGCACTCTTAATACCGACATATATCATTCTAGACTTAATAAAAGTGTACCAAATGCATCGACATCGACATCGAAATGTGAGTTGTTAAAAATTACAAAACAAACTCGCTGTATGCTACAGACGAAATAATTGCTGGGTCATCAAGTGCCATGGAATTGGCGTGGGCTCAGTGCAAAATATTTTTTAATAAAAATATTGCAGTAGTATCTATTTGGAAGCGAGCTTTCCAGATAGTTACCAAAGAAAGTTGGATCAGTTGTGTTCTATATGCGAGTTTTTTATATCGCAGTTTAGTTTAGGTTTTTTTTGTAAACCGTGATGCAGTACGTTTTCCTAGGGCTATCCACGGCAGTTACTTGCCGGGCCGCTTATTGTACGGAGTTGTGAGTAAACGGTTGCATTGTCGTGGTCGAGTTTCATTTCTTGTTAAATGAATACATAACAGTGGAGCAGTCAGCACTCGAACCAAAATATTATTTAAAATGTCGACTTTTCTCGGGAACCTCGGTTCATTTGACTCGGAAAAGTCAGATTGTGCAATTTTTTCCGAGAGACTTCAACAGTTTTTCGTCGCGAATGAGATAACGAATGAGGATAAAAAACGGGCAACACTTCTAAACACATTAAACGAAGAATGTTACGTTTTGTTACAAAATTTGTGCGTGCCGAAAACGCCGCCGGAGCTGAAGTTTGAAGAGTTAGACAAGTTGTTATTAAAGCATTTTTCTCCCGTGCGTTCGTATTTTTCGGAAAGATTAAAATTTTACACAACAAAAAATGAGCCAAGTGAAAAAGTGTGTGATTGGGCGGCTCGCGTAAAAAATTTAGCAAGTTTTTGTGGGTTTGATGCCTCTATCACTCTCGACCAATTAATGAGGGATATATTCACGGTTGGCTTAAATGATGTGCGTTTTAGTGACCGCTTATTTGAGGAAAATCCTCAAAGTAGCAAGTGCACCTTCCAGTTTATGAAAAAAATCGCATTGGCAAAGGAAACTGCATTTTTTGACCACGAAAAACGCGCGTCGAAAGATACATCCACACAAATCAAGAGAGAACCAGAAGAGCTGTTTTATAACAATCAAAAACCAGGTATTTTTCGTCGGAGCCGGGGTAAGTCAAATTCAAGGACCCCCCAAAAGAAACTAAGATCGAAAACAGTTTCCATTCTTGTTCAGTTTGTAGCCGTTCCAACCACAAATCGTCCGAGTGTGCCTACCGCAATTGTTTTTGACATAAATGCGGAGTAAAAGGACATTTAGCACCCTTGTGTAAGCAGAATAACATGGGTCAAAATTTTCTAAAAGACAACGCGCTCGAAGGTTTGGACGATAGCGACGACTCGTGCTTCATTATCAGTGATAAACCCTTGCACGGTCCCACGAACATCACCCAGACATCCGTACAAAATATGTTTCATAAGAAAACAGAAAATGTCCATAACGAAAAACCTATTTTAATTAAATTAGAGATAGATAAAATGCAATTTAATTTTGAAGTGGACTCCGGTTTCGCCCACGTGGCAATCTCGAAAAAAATGTATAACAAACATTTTCAAAAATATCCGTTAATCAGTAATGATTTGCGTTTGAAAGATTATGTCGGTGTATCTTTTCAACCTTTGGGTTTTGTAAACTTAAAAATAACATATGATTGTCAAAATTACAACCTAAAAACATATGTAATTAAGAACGGCGGGCCACCCTTATTAGGTCGCAATGGTCTGAAAATGCTAAATATCGGGTTTTGTAAATCAGTCGATAGCAATACCAGTTTATTATATGTAAATTCGGACGCCAAGTTGCAAAATTTATAAAAAAAATTCGAACCAATATTCAGCAGTACGCTAGGTACATTCAATAAGTTCAAGGTCACGCTAAAATTAAAAGAAAACGCCACCCCAAATTTTTTTAAGCCTCGGCCGGTTCCAATAGCATTAAAACCGAAAATTGAGCAAGAACTGGACCAGCTAGTCAAAAACAAGGTCCTAGTGCCCACAGAATTTTCAAAGTGGGCAACACCTATCGTCCCAATATTAAAAAAAACGGCGGTATAAGGATCTGCGGCGATTTTAAGGTGACCTTGAACCCCTAATTGGAACTTCAGCAATTTCCTCTTCCAAGAATTGAATACTTATTTAGCCAACTAGAGGGGGGAATGAAATTTTCAAAAATCGACCTTTCAGAAGCGTATCAGCAAATTTTGCTCGACGATCAGTGCAAAGAGTTGGTTACCATCTCCACACATAAGGGGTTGTTTTCTTATCAAAGATTGCCTTTCGGCATACACTGCCCTCCATTTTCCAAATAATCATGGAGCAATTATTTAATATTACTGGCGTTATATCATTCCTAGATGACATTCTTGTGACAGGGAGAAACGATCTTGAGCATTTGGAGCGATTAGAACAAGTCTTTCAAAAATTATCGGAATGTGGCTTCCAATTAAAAAAAGAAAAATGTAGTTTCATGCAAGAATCTTTGACTTACATGGGTCATTTAATTGACAGGTTCGGCTTGCACAAAACCGATAAGAGGGTCGAAGCAGTGGTCAAACCCAAGGTACCTTCCAATATCACAGAACTTAAGTCATTTCTCGGGGTTGTCAATTATTACGTTAAATTCTTACCGAACGCGTCGTCCATCCTTTATCCTTTAGACAGTTTATTAAAAAAAAAACATTCCTTGGGAATGGACACCGGCTAACCAAAATAGCTTCGATAAAATCAAGGATATGTTAGTATCTCCATCTGTGCTGGCCCATTTTGACCCAAAATTACCAATCAAATTATTGGTAGATGCCAGCAGTAGAGGTCTAGGGGCAATAATTAGTCATACCTACACAGACGGAACTAAATAAAAACGAACTTTCCTATTCCCAATTCGGAAAAGAGGCTCTAGCAATAATATTAAGGAACACCATTACCTATTATTACATAGAAAACACATGGATCCATCTCTGAGGATGGGGGTACTAAGTAAATTAATAAATGCCAGGTGCGATCGATTCTGTCTCTTTTCATCATCTTTTCATTCATCAGAAAAACATTCATGGGGGAACAACATCTCTTGAAGTACCAAAGAAGCAAGACGAACAATCAATTTTATTCTGTCTGGCATTTTATTGGAGACTAAGCCATCACAAATCGTAGTGACTATATAAATGCGACAAGTCAGAGAAAGAGAGAAGTTCCCACCCGCGCGCTCAAACGATAAATCCAGAGGCGGCTTCTATGTTTATACGTCATAAAACCGTCTCTGTTTATAAACGCCCATTCGGAAAGTTTGAAGCATTCAGTCTCGCTTTCCCTATCCGTGCGCGCGAGACATTTTAATCTGCCGACTATTTAAAACAGCCGCGATAAGATAAAAGTGACGGTCGTCCCAATAAACTAATTAAGTCTCGGCTGATCTTTTTTACGACGCGCAGTTTGCCGGATCCCCGCGACCCTAATTCACTTAAATCGTTCAATTGTTCGGCGACGTTATGATCTAAAAGTCGGACTGCGCTTACGGCAGTTACGCGCCGCGTCCTCCAGATGGAGAAGAAGTTTGGCAACCTGCTGAGCCTCAACTCGCTGTTTAAGCCTTCGTCGGGCGGCGAAAACAAACGGCCGCACGCGGATCCGCAGATCGGATTCAGGGTGGCGTTGAACGAGCGTCAGAAACAGTTGAAAGTGAGAGTGATCGGCGCGAGACAGTTGCCGACCGAATACGGATCTGTCAAAGCCAAGGGCTACTGCGTCAAGGTGCGGTTTTTACGCGGGCTATCAACATGTCGTTTAGTGGAGTAAAAAATCCTGCAAAAGTCGCTCCTTTTTTGAATAAAAAATTAATTGACTTAGAACCAGAGGAAATCTGACTGAAATCATTAGTTAGCTTACTGTACACCGTGTGCCAAATAAAACGATCCACTATACGATCTGGAAACTCAAAAAAAAAGTCGTACATAAGTTTCTTGATACAGGAAATCCTTGGTTAAAATAAAGGTCACATTCTTAAGAAATTCCTATTCGAATTTTGCATAGTTTAGGCAGAAATTGAGGTTATGTGTTTTGTTTTTTCATGTTTTGATTGTCGCATATAGAATTGTTTGACAGATGTGCCTCAGCTTATACAGAGTGTCCCAAATAGGTGGTGCCGTTTTGGCGAATTTAATTAACCAAATTTCAAGATTTTCAAATGGAACAACCTATATTTTTATTCAGATATCAATTCTAGGACAAAAAACAAGGTAAGTTTGTAATTTATCTTATATTTAAATTTAACTTACTTTTTGAGATATTCGAGGTTTAAGGTAAGACCGGTATAAATTCTTGTTGAATAAAACCTATTGCTAACAATACAGGGAGATTTTGAGAAAAATCGACTCTATGCTCTCTAACCGATTAAAAAAACTTCAGAATTCATATTTAAGGAAACACTTAAAACTTAATTATCTAGCTCGATTGAAAATACCTAATAACAAAATAAATAATTAAAGTTTATAGTTTAACCAAAAAACTATAACTTATTTAAAATACAAATAAAATATATACTAACAAAAAACTTCACAACAACAAAGTTTGTTAACAGCTTAATGTGTCAAAAAAAAGATTGTGATGTTATAGCGACCTACATGTTTAAAATTTTTGATATTTCTTTGTTGTTTTGATGCCAGCTGAAACGAGCATTTTAAGAGAAACATTTGTAACAAAACTTTATGGACCGGATTAACGAACACTTTTTAGTTAACTTTTTTTTATAGATTTATCAATGCAAATTTGTTACCTTGGTTAGATAGCCTATAAACTTTAATTATTTATTTTTATCATTTAGTATTTTCAATGACCCTAGATAATTAACTGGTAAATGTTTCTTTAAATATGAATTTTGAAGTGTTATTAAATCTGTATTGTTAGCAATAGGTTTTAGTCTGGAGCATGATATCTTTAAAAGAAGTAGTATCGTGTCTTTGTGCTTTAAAAAATACCTAATAGGCCAACAAGTGACCTATTTTGACCAAAAATGTCGATATATACAGGGTGTTCCATTTAAAATAACAAAGTAGATGTTGGAGAGACAAAGACACTTTTGTATGAAACTTTTTTTCGTATCGCCTATGGGTTTCCAGACCGTATAGTAGACCGTTGTATTTGGTACACGGTGTACATACTAAATGGGTACTTACGACTTAAAAAATACATTTACGCAGAGTCATCGAAGCAAGGAACGTATTATAATAAGCCGATGATTAGGAGAATCAAGAAAGTATATACGTAATTCTAATGAACTGATGAACATTTTTATTTCTGAAAATTTGAATAGGCAAAATATATATTCTTTTCAAAAACATTTAGAAATCTTCATCCAAAGATTCCGTTGCGCCTATGGTATCTTTGTTGCTACAGAATTTGCAGTTACAAAATGTTTGTGATTTTATGTTGCACAAGATCTTGTGTCGCAAAATATTGGTTTTCAGGCATTGTTCTCATTTGCCCATTCATATATATTTGGCTTACAAAATTTTATATGGTACGTGACTGAAATTCCAAATTTTCAGTTGATATATGCATTTAAAAGAATTAAAAAAAAACATTAGGGTATTGAACTAAAATATACCTACGTTTCATAATATGTTGTCTCCTTTTTTAATTCTGTTGGCAGTTCCATCGCAGGTCTGTTTGAATTTGTGGTCAACTGTATCCTGAAATATCGTTTTTGTTTCTCAGGTCCACTGCCTCACTGTCAGGTAAAAACGGCAAATTATACGGTTCTAAAATCTCGATGTTCTTGATTAATACATCAAAGGCTGTCTTCTTGCCAATTTGGAAAATGCACTTATGTCACATCCCGCGAGACAATATGTTGCCAAAATATTTTTTGAAACTTGTTTGAACTATGTTCTGAATTAATAAAAATAGTTTATATTTTAAATGTTGCATTCTTCAAACCATTACCCACCATAAAAAGTAATACGGATTTCTTGAGAAAATCTTAAAAAACTGGAACCCTTCAGGAGCCAGAAAGATTATATTCAGTTGATTCACAACATCTTAGTCTCTCGGCGGCTTTCAATGACTGGAAGATATAATTATCAAAAATAACTGAAAATCTTCTGCCATTGTAATATTTTTTTTTAAATATTTGTCCTAAGTCGTTGAATGTCATAGAAGAAGTACATTTGAATTCCTGAATGAGTACCATACCATCAATAATAGAAGAATGCATATTTGGATGTAAATCCATTTTCTCAATATTTTGTTGCACGATTCAGCCATTGCGGATTTTCGCATCGAACCATCTTCATGAAGCAGTTCTGAAGGAACCAAAGATAGCTTATAGGATAATAGGTCATTTAAATCAATTTCTTGGAATTTTGCTGCACAGTTTATTCTACGAAACATAAATGTCATTATTTTGTCCCTCTTTATGGACCTTCACAAACTTTCAACAGTACTTTCGAGGATGTTAGTTGTTTTTTCAACAGGTGTTTGTAAATAATCAGATAGATTTTTTTCAATTTCTTTTGTGGCTACTTTTCCCGTGAATATATTTATTAGTTGTTTGGGAACATCATCCGAATCGAATAGATTGCCCCAATTGGCTTCAACTGCATTCAACATTTGAATTACCTCTTCATTTCTACGAGCTGACTTTATTCCTTGAGGCCTATCTTCTGCATTTTCATTAAATGTCGCATCTGTGAATAGTACAAAAATTATTTCTGAATTACTAAAGAAAGACGCGTTTTGATCCATTACAGTGATGCTCTTGGATTTTGGGAAAAACATTATCGTCGGAATGTTTAAATAAACTATTCGCGTTCACTTAGACGGCCCGTAATGAGCAAAGTTGGGCGTCGACACTGAGTTACAATTCAAAGTAGTATAATATGCAACAAGTGTGGTAAACGGCATTTGAGTTTATTTGACACTAGCGGAGCGACAATAGTATATTCACTGACATGACCGTCAGAATTGAGTAACATCAAAATTCTCCGAAAAAAATTACTAAACGTGTTGCATTCTATACTTTTTAATTTTTGCAAAACAACACGAATACATTCACTGATATGACTTTCAGAATTGACAAATATCAAGATTCAAGCAGTGCGGTAAAATTTAGTAGTAGAAAAAAATCGCATTTCAAAAACTATTATAGATAAGAGGCGTTTTTTTTTTAAACTTTCTCATATAGTTTACCAGACTTCTTTCGCAGTATATACTATATAGTATGAAAATTTTCCACTTAAAAAAGTTTGACTACAAAAAATCAAATTTTCCTAATTTCGTTAGAGGATAAATTATAAAAAGTATTTTTTTTTATTTCTGTATTTTTGACAGTTTTTTCGATATTCCAAAACTGGGTACCACTAAAAAAACTGGTAATGGCCCATTTCGTATGTACAACGACCTCACTAATGTTTTGGGTGTGGTTTCACCTGGTTTTAGGAAAAAAAAAAACTGAACATTTTTACCGCTTTTTTATTTCACTATTTAAGTCGGAGTCAAACAACTCGTGTACAGGATTATTTTTTATATTTGCGTAGTTTTTCGCGGCGACTTCCATTAACAGTAGTTAATGGAAGTCACCGAGAAAAACGTTTAATACAAAAGTTGTATAATATTATTACGCATCAGTGTCACATTTTGTGTCGTTCTGCTTTAAATCGAATCATTCAGTTAAGAAAACAGGTTACTCAGAGTAAAAAAAGCTTAATGAAACCACAAGTCTCACTTGAAAAAAGAGAACCTTTGTTAGAAATGAAGACATGACACGAATATTTTGCTTTCTTTTGAAGGCAGCTCTAGTTCTATAAATAATAATTAAAAATAACATTAATTTCATATAAATATTTAGAAAATCTCGAGTGTTGCCGCAGAATTGGGAATGTCATATTACCAATTTATTCTACTTCAAGGCTTATCCGAAAGAAATAAAATTCAACGGTTACAAATGTCGAAGCATATAACAGAGCATCCCAATTTTTTGAAAAAAACTGTCTTTACCGATGAAGCAAGCTTCACGATGGTAGGTATGTTTAATCGGAAAAATAAGTAATATTGGGCAAGTAAAACCCCACATAGAATTCAACCAGTAAAAATACAAATAATCGAACCAATTTTTCTTTATGGGTATCTGAGGGGCAATCGATATTTAGATTTAATTTAATAATACTGAAAATTATTTGGAAGGTCTTCCAGTTTGCCAATACATTAACCACAATACCAATCCAGTTACCTAAATGACAGATAGGATCATCGGATAGGCAGGCATGGTACAATTCAGTCGCAGGCTAATAGACTGGATTTAAACCCTCTTGATATTTTCTTCTGGCTTCTTATTAGCCGCCAGATTTGTTTCTGCAGTCCATAGAAGTCACGTTCCATCCCTTTGGAGAAAATTTCCCAGTTTTGGCCTTTGGTTTGTCTAACTAGTGTTTATTATATTCTTCGTATACTTCTGCCGTTTTTGATGGCATATACCTTACTTAGGCTTCCTTTGTCTTTTTGCATTGCTTTTTAATGTTATTACAGAACCAGGGTATTTTGTTCGTTCCTTATTTTTCTGTTCGTGTTCCTAGCGATTCGATTGCTGCTTCTATTATGTTCTCTTATTGCTAATATCTTCATTTTCATCTATCGGGTTCTTATTGATTTTTTCTGTTAGTCGATTTTGATAAAGTTCTTTTATGGTGATGTCCTACATCAAGTCCACATTTATTTTTTGTATAAGTGTTCTTGTTTTTTTTTCTTTCTCCTGTTAA